CGTGCAACAGCCGAGGCTGCTGCGTGGCTCTACCACCGTAAATTTGGCAGTCCTCTTTTGCACTTTTATTAACCGAAATCAATATATTTCGGTTTTGTATATTTAATACTGCATGAAATACTCATTTAGAGGGTCAAATTTGATATAAGTCAAGTAGCCTATTGGGAGCTATATAGGCAGGTGGTGAATTAATATTTACCATGGCTACTGGCTATTTCGGTTTTGTATATTTAATACTGCATGAAATACTCATTTAGAGAGTCAAATTTGATATAAGTCAAGTAGCCTATTGGGAGCTATATAGGCAGTGGTGGTGAATTAATATTTACCATGGCTACTGGCTTCTTATATTCAACCCGGCTAGGTTATTTATATATATATATATATATATATAACCGATATTCATACACCTTTGCTACGCTAGCGCCACTGTGGTGATTTTTTGAACTATTATTTACCAATTCAACTTGTCGCCATATAAGATTGTCTTCCTTATCTCTACACTCCACACTTTTATTGAGCTAGCGCGTCAAATCGTCTACGGCTGCATCGCAGATATTTTTTCTTATGTATGTGACTATTTGAGAGTCAAAAGGGTTATGAATTTTCTCCGACTTTAATCGTCACAACTGGGATGGCGGGCAATTATTATGTTTTTGTAAACCACATCTGAACAACATATATATATTTTGCGGAGTTCATTAGTTAATACTGATACACTTTTCACCATTATAGATACAGAATAAAAAGAGAAACTATAAAAACACTATATGTTGACCTTTGTTTATTTTTTTTCGGTATCGGGTGGGGATCTTCAAATGATGCCCTATGGGGTTCTTACCCACTAAAAGCCCCCTGGTATCCTCTGTATGTTTGGAGGGACTCCGAGATCTCCACAATATGTTGGCCTAGCGCCGACTAAAACGTTATGTACTCATGTTGGTGTATCAAAGGATTTGTACACCACAAACGGCTTAATATTTTTTGACATTTGGTATCAATGATTCGTGTCAACTTCTTGTACATATTGCAACAAACAAATGTATTCTAATCGAAATAAACATTTTACCACTAGATAGGATCGCTATCAAGTAATAATATTGCGGTGAAATATTACTCCCGTAGGGTTTTAGATGCGTCACCTTTTAATAAAGTGGATTCCTATTATACTATACTAGCTTTCCGCCCGCGGCTTCTCTCACCTTGAAGCCCTTAAATAAATATCTTTCTTTAACCTTTCAACCCTTTACAACATTTCTTTCCAATTAAAAAATAGCCTATGTCCTTTCTCGGGCTCTAGACTATCTGTGTACCATATACATCGGCTCAGTAATTTTTGCGTGAAAGCGAGACAGACAGACAGAGTTACTTTCGCATTTATAATATTAGTATGGAAATATGGATTACTAGCTGCTGCCCGCGACTACGTCTGCGTAGAATAGACTAAAGGTGTAACATTAAGACAGAAAGACAGATATACATAAAATATGTATATAAATTATAACCTATGTCTTATTCTGATGTATAAGCTATATTATTGTAAAGTCTGATTAAAATCCATTCAGTAGTATCTGCGTGAAATAGTAACAAACATCCATCCATACATACAAACTTTCCCCTTTATAATATTAGTAAGGATGGGCTACTTTACTCTGGTCTTCTGTGAGGTCGTGGTACTTCTCTGGACGAGCCTGCCCATTCGTGCAACAGCGGACGCTGATGCGCAGCCCTACCACAGCTACCAATTATGATTATTGCTACAGGAACTAGTACAAAAATCGCTATTATACCGCTCTTAATTTTTTTTTGCAATTTTCTTTTTAAACTGCCATTACTTTAGGATAATATTATCCTGTGTTGTCATGACGTTTTACAAACATAAATTTCACTGTAATCCACGTAACGGCCGAAAGGTCGGGTTACCAGTTACGGCCAAAGGTCATCATACGAAGTATCGTTTAATAACTCGAAATGAGGCAAATCTGTAGCAAAAATTATCATATTTCGAACGTTTTTTGTCGTTCGGTCCAAAATAACAACACGGGTAATTGCTAGCACCGAGTTTGTTTTATTTTGGTTTGGTTTAACAATTGGATGACTTTGCTTCTTGGGCAGAACGTAACTAAAGTAAGGGCAATTTAAAAAAAAAATCATTGGCACCGGACTCCGGAGATATATCTGGGAACGGTTCGAAATAGAATAGAAAATGTATAGTGAGTGTGATATTTGCAGTCGGTTTTGTTCATCACTACGGTACAGAGTATAAAACAAAGTCGTACCGCCGTCTGTCTGTCCCTATGTATGCTTAGATCTTTAAAACTATGCAACGGATCTTGATGCGGTTTTTTTTACTAGATAGAGTGGTTCAAGAGGAAGGTTTATGTGCATAATACTTGCACCCGTGCGAAGCCGGGGCGGGTCGCTAGTTGTTAGTAAAAATGTTATTTGACTACTAATTCGGGCTTTTCGTCCGCGCACTAGTCTTCTGTTTCATTTAAAAACTCGATTAATGCCCGGTTCCTATATTCAATGAACGGCCGTTTGTTGTTACATAGTCATTATGAAGCAGTTACGCCTGGGGTGACTGCGTAGATGAGACAGCGTATGTGAGGTCCATACGTCGACTCCAAATTAATTGTGGCTATCTGTTAAAATTTACGACAACTTATAATTTACGACTATTGTCAGTACGTGATATAGTAGCCGAGGTGCCAAGTTCGCGATAAAGGATAAAATATTATGATCTTTTTTTTTTCGCTTTTGAAGCTTCATTGACTGTGTTCAATTTTTATAACTACCCTCCAATGTTGCTTTAATATAGCATTTTGGGCTTAGTTAGATTGGTAAATGTTATCGGGCGGCCCCAGTAAAAGAGAATTAAGACACGTACAATATAATTTACTTACTTACAAATAATTGAGTAAACATGTTTTAAATATTACAAATTGAAATATTTTACTATAAGCTTATCGAGTCAGTGCCCTTAAATGTATCCAATACTTACATTATTTAATATCTTTTTTTTTATGTGAAAAGTTCCCAAGCGAGCAGACGGTTCACCTGATGTTAAGTGATAACCGCCGCCCATAGACATTTGCTACACCCGAGGGTTGCAGATGCGTTGACAACCTTTTGAAAATTGGGCTCCGGCCACCTCACTCACCAGGCGAAACGCGAAAGTATTATACTTCCACTTTACTCCGGTCTTCTGTGAGGTCGTGGTACTTACCCGGACGAGCCTGCCCATTCGTGCAACAGCCGAAGGCTGCTGCGTGGCCCTACCACCATAAAACTGTGTAAAACCTTTGCCCAACTGTAGGATTAACAGTTATAGTATATGTCTGCGACTGTTTTCTAAAAGAGAAAGGTTTCCCCTTACAAAGCTAATTTATGTATAGCAGTTATTCAATCCAGAGGATGGATTGGGCGACATCACTCGACAGATAAGCAATAGCATAATTTCTATGCGACCGTGGAACTTCCCTTGGAATCGTCTACCCATTTGTATTTTTAACCGACTTCAAAAAAGGAGGAGGTTTCTCAATTCGACCGTATATATATATATTATGCGTGTGCGGGGATAACTCCGTCATTTATGAACCGATTTTAATGATTCTTTTTTTGTTGGATAGCAGATATCCCAAGGGTGGTACCGTGATAATGAAAACCCAGATCTGATGATGGCATCCCTTAGAAATCGAGGGCATTCCTCAAAAGTTACAGGCGTTGAGAATGTTTTATTAGTTTCCTGTTTGAAGTCGGTTTTTGTGTGTTCAAAATTATATACTTATTATGTATAGAAGAAGTTGGGTTAAATCCCAATGACCACTGAGACTAAAGGCCCATTTACACGGTGCCAGTTTCTTGCCTGTTGTATACAATTAAATTGAAGCAATAAATAAGTTGCATGGTCTAAACAACAAATGGTCTAACCAATTATTGCGCGCAATTTATTGCATGCAATTATTGCTCTTGCATGTACAAGAAAATGGCATCGTGTAAATGGGCCTTTAGAAAGATCTATTGTAGATCTTCGAAAACATTGCCCCCTTACTGTGTCTTTCGTTGTGATGACGTTTTACATACACAAATTTCGCGTGGGCAAACACCCATATCCGAATCGTACGTGTATGTCTCGTGTGGAAGATATGTTAAGTCCGCCAATCCGCAGGGGGCCGCGTGGTGGACTATGCCCTGATACCCTCTGTATAGAGGAGGCCTTTGCCCAGCAGTGGAATATATGTATAGGCTGTTACTTTAGTCATCTATTAACAGGTTTAAGAAATTTGTTAAAGAAAAACTTTTTAAAAAGGGTTATTATTGTATAAATGAATACATTATTGAAATGTACCCCTGGGAATGAGATGATCGCTCCCAAGCTGATCCTTTAAAAAATGTGTTATAAAATTTTGGGAAAAAATGACAAAAAAGGGATACCTACGGAGTTTCTTCGCCGTCAAAGGAACCTCATTACGAAGCGGTGGTAGATTAAAAAAAATATATATATTGAAATGTATATTTATTAAACTACTAGCTGTTAACCGCGGCTTCGCCCGCGCGGCCAAGGAAATAACAATGAGTTTTTTATTATGCACCAGAATATCTCACAGATGGCTGAATTTTTTGTTACTTAGTTGTTACTTATCATTAACTTCATTTTGACACAATATGTTTATTAATTATAACCTATGTTTTATTCTGATGTATAAGCTATATTATTGTAAAGTCTCATAAAAATCTATTTAGTAGTTTTTGCGCGAAAGAGTAACAAACATACATCCAAACATTTCGCGTTTATTACACTAGCTGCCCGCGACTACGTCTGCAGAGAATAGGCTAATAAAAAAGGCAGTAATACACTACATTATGCATCATACAGTGTATATTTTTTGCTAGAAACATGTCGGGAGCTATCTTCTTATTCACAAAAACTGTTTACGTCACAGAAGGGTGGTAAATGGACTGCTGGATTGGTAGACTGATCAAGAATGTCTTTGCAGCGCGGCCGTGCTCCCGCCAGGCGGAATGCGCGGGCATCACGAGCTCGTCGTGCGTGCGCACCCACTACGACCCTGTCACCAGGTGCCTATGTGGGGACAACTCGCCGCCGCTGAACGGACAATGCGAGGCCCAGTCCAAAGGTAATAATAATAATAATTTTGATGACTCCGTGGCGCCGTTGCCAAGGTATTGGCTTCGGCGTCGGGGGTCGTGGGTTCGATTCCCACACGGGACAATTATTTGTGCGACCCACAGATAGTTGTTTCGCATCTGGGCGTTTGTCCGCGTGAAATTAAGATTAAGAAGTGGATTTACAAAATTATTGACCTCCAAGTTCAGCCATAATATATGGTTTGCAAATATGTGCAAGGGTAAACTATATGGGCAAGGCACTCCAGGTGCTTTTTAGGGCTCCGGGACCCTATTACTACGATCCCGCTGTCTGTCAATCCGTCCCGCTGATGAACCGTGATAGTTAGACAAATGATGTATTTCTGTTGTCGCTATGACAACAAATGCTAAAAACGGAATAAAAAATATTTAAGTCCCTCTTACAACAGACATGATTTTTTTGCCGTTTTTATAGAAAATGCTTCGTGCGCTAGTCCGACTCGCACTTGGCCGTTTTTTTTATTTCAGCACAAAGAAAGGGTAAAAACATAGCTCTCTTTTTTCGCTTTGTATCGGTCGTAAAGTAGCTTATATTAACAAATAATTTTTTTTCGGTAGAATTCATTATAAACATCATCCCGCGTTAGGTTGATAAAATAAGTGAACATAAAAATTTCATCAGGAATACCTTGTGAAATTTTCCACGTCATAAGTACTTGAAAACAACATACCGCAATATACGGTGACCTTTCCAACATGGCGTTAGTTTATAACCAGTCTAGGCCATTAATTGTACTTTTAACTGCGCATTTCGTTTAATTGTAGTCTAACCCGCAATATTTTAAAGTGAAAAACGATTTAAATGTATATTAAAGGCATTTTTGTTTGCTTTAACAAAAGCCTAGCCTCGGCATTGTGATTAGCTTTTCTTTGACGGTAAATTTCTTAAGAAATGGCGCCTTCGACTACGTCAACTTTGCACAGATTAAAAATAAATCATATTGTGTAATTTTGCTAATATTCATACAGATCCTGTAACGTAAGGCACCTAAATATATATCACTTATCGGTTTGATAATTGTTCGACTGACACAGGCATTCTTATTTAAAAAAATGTGCAGACATAAAGACGATAATTGTTATGTATTTAAAAATAAAACTCTTATAACATAGAATAAAAAAGGAAAAAGTAATGATTTAGAGGTAATTATATCAACGCACTTTTCCCTATTATTTATTCGCATTATTCAATATGTAGTTGTTTAAAGGGCAATAAAATTAATTAAATAAAGAACAATTCGACGGCTAGCAACATCAATTAAAGTTTCCGTGACCAGAATTACAAACAAATGGCTCGCAAACCCGCTGATTAAAGTCACGTGAACGATATCAACCAATTTCTCTTGGCCTATTTATAAATTATAACTGACTAATTGCCCACAAGGTTTCACTTTCATGTTTAGATGGCATAAGCGATCGTTGCCGGCGGCCATGACGCCAAAATGGCCGAAAACCGGCGGCGTTAGCGCGGGAAAATCCGAGCGTCGCGATTGCGAAGGACTTAATGCAAGGTCGATTAGGGTAAATCGTGTTATAACGAAATTGGTTGCCGGTGCGACCGAACAATGGTTGCTGTGTGTAATAAACGTTTCCCGGTTGAAATTGTACAGTGCTTCTTCGTTGTCTTTACTTAATTATGTTTAATGTGACGTTATTTAGCCATTGGCTCAAGCGTTGGGGGTCGTGAGTTCAATTCGCACGCGGATACGTAATAAACTATTGCTGTTTGTGAAAAGTTGCCAATCGAGCGAAAGGTTACCCTCTGAAGGGTCTATCTACAACATCTGAAGGGTTACAAATGTGTTGCCAACGTTCAAAAATTGGGCCACAGTTACCTCACTAACCAAACGAAACGAAACGTGAAGCTACAGTACTTCTTATACTTTCCCGGGTCTGTCTGTTCGTACAACAACAGAAGCAGCTGGCTCGGCCCTGCAATAATCAAAATAATTAATTTATTTTAAATCAATTTGCGGATTTGTCGCGTTTATTTTTAATTTTAATTCCCTTCATTTCACTTTTCTTTGTTGGCAACGCATCTAACCCTTAACATGATCTGAACCGCCTACTCGCTTGCTAAATTAAAATATGAAAAACAAAAAAGCATATCGACCAATTGTGACTGCTATACTTGTCCAAAGAGCCCATTAGTGCAACAGCAACAACTGCAACCTGAATCTGCCACGGTAGCCATCATCTTCATGCCCTTATCCCACCTAGGTGGGGTCGGCGCGACATGTGAATCATGTTGCGAGTGGTTTTGGCTACGTTTTTTACGACCGAACGCCTGACTGACGTCAACCCTCATTGAGAACAAACACCCAGTTCCGAACAGTTCCGGGGCAATTATCTGCGGGGCACACAAATAATTCTCACCTGTAGACTTAGAGACACCTAAAAAAAATCATGATTTTGACTTTATGTCAGGAGACGACCTAAAACGGCTACCTTTTTAAACTCTTATTTAAACAAGGGCTGATTTTGGCGTAGATCTCTTTCACTTCTCCAATCACCGCGTATGTTCATAAGTGCACAAATCGTTTTACCTTTCCCGAAAAGTAATATTTTGAAATGGGTCACAATAATTCTAACGATGCGAATTGTCCCGTGTGGTAATCAAACCCGCGACCCGCGCGCGCACGCCGATAGCCACGGGGGTAAGGTAAGGGGGCATAAGTATCGGGAGGGAAATCTTGAAAAGATACCCTGTCATGATATGACAGGGTTATGTGAGCTTCGTACCCACTAAACCCCCCTCGGTGGCCACCTTCTGTACCTTTGGAGGGACTCCGGGATCTCCTACGGAATGCACCGGTGTCCCTCAGTACTGCGTGTGAGCACGCCTCGAAGAAGGATAAACCTTCCCCGATTCCCTCGCCGTCTTGCAACAGCACGAGACCACTTTGTGCTGCTGCCAATCCGTGTCTCCTTTTAGTCGCCTTTTCGACAGGCAGGGGATAACTTGGCTCTATTCTATGAGCCCGAGACTACAGGGCCGACCCTTCGAGCCCCTTGCGGTGATGCGCCTTAGCAGCTGTGCCAACGAGTCATACGGGACAGTAATAACGCTTCGAATCCTTGCAGTGCTGTACCACGTCTGCGCGAACAGCGACGAATGTAACGATGGCCTGGTCTGCGGAGCGCCCAACATCACTGGAAGCGCCCCTCAGCACCTGCGCGTGCTCTCGCCTCAGGACAAGATATGCCTTTGCGACGCGGAGAGTGGATACAGGGAGCGCGAGTACACGTGCAGCGGTGAGGGTTTTTTTTATTTATAACTGGCTAGCACTTGACTGTCATCCCACCTGAAGGTAAGTGGCAATGCAGCCTTTGATGGTAAGCGTGCTAGCTCAGTAAAATCCTATTCACTCCTATCTTGAAGACGCCTTTGTAATCGGGCGGAAAGACGGACGCCGGCAGGTCGTTACATTCCTTAGCTGTACGGATGACGAATGACGAAGCGAATCGCTTGGTTCTTATTCTGGGAATGTCGACAGCATAAGGGCACATAAGGGTGACACTTCGAACTAGTTATCCGATATGGAAAAGGAACAAATGCAACTCCAACGCGCGCTGTCAAAATGTCTTTGTCCCTGACGAGGCTGGCTTTATCTTTAAAAGCGCAACGGCTTGACAGCCTCCTCTGTACATTTTATAATGCGATAGTCCACTGCGGATGTTCAGCGGTGGAATCAAACGATGAAATGATGATGATGATGACGATTATTTCAAAAATACCACGATTTCATTGGTGTTGGCTTGGTTTTCGCAGGCGATCGAACTCGGGTTACTCGAGTATATTTAAAAGGCAATATTTTCAAAATAATAACAAAAAAATAATATTTTGATGACATAATTATTGTGAAGTCTACCACCAATCCATCGTGGGTTCGCGTGGTGGACTATGCCCTTATACTCTGTGCACTCATATTCTGAGCCCAGCTGCGGTACATTTATAGGCTGTTACTTTACTTTTACATTACGGTGGTAGGGCCACGCAGCAGCCTCAGCTGCTGCACGAATGGGCAGGCTCGTCCGGGTAAGTACCACGACCTCACAGAAGACCGGCGTAAAGTGGAAGTATAATACTTCCGCGTTTCGTCTGGTGAGTGAGGTAGCCGCAGCCCAATTTTCAAGAGGTTGTCAACGCATCTGCAAAATCCTCGGGTGTAGCAGATGTCCATGGGCGGTGGTATTCATTTAACATCAGGTGAAACACCTGCTCGCTTGGCAACTTTTCACAAAAAAAAAAACATTACTAACGGCAATTTCTTTTTCAGATGCCGAACTCCTCAAGTCGTCCATCTTCGCCGTGGCCATTATAACTTGCTTAAGGAAAATATTAATTTATTAAGAGATCGCACGCGTTCCTTCTATGTAATATACACTAGGCTTGATTAGTTGCAGTTTTATGAAATTTCGTATGTACCGATCCAATGTATTTTATTGTCGCACTATAAAAAAATGTAATAGAGAATTGTCTTGGTGGTCTGATAACTTTAATCGTCACGTGAAACTTTTATCAGGATTTTTTGCGATGTAAATGTAGTTGATTTTTTTTAATTATGATTTCCCAAGCGACAAATTTTGAATATTTTGCATAATTTACGAATAGGTCTTTCTATCCTTAGAAACGCGTTATAATCCGAAGAAAATACAGATATATGAAAAATTTGAGCAAAATACTACACATTTTACGCATTTATAGCGCTTGAATTCATAAAATAGTTTCATTTATCTTCGTTGAATACAAAAAGAAAATGACTGATACCAGTGTATTGAGCCAAAATTTATTTAAAAAAGCAACATGAGAACCATTTAAATGTTTAATTACGATTCTTGATCTTGATTTTGAAATAAAAACGTGGAATTGACTATGGTTTATTGAAGCATTCGCTACAAACTTCACGATTATCGGTCCTATCCAGCATATTTAGAAGAAATTCATAGTTTGTTTTTACTTAATTGGCTTATGGTGATTTGTATCATCTTCATCATCATTATTTCAGCCTGTTTGAGTCCACTGCTGGACATAGGCCTCCCCCACAGACTGCCACGAAGCATAATCCTGAACAACCTGCATACATCGACTTCCCGCACAATTGCACACACTTATAATTTGTATAACTCGAAATAAAATGTGCAGTTTGTATGCGTAAAATAATGTTACAACACAATACTACAGGAACAACACTTTAGGAAGTAGCCAATTTGCATATTATGAAGTTTTTAATCAAAAAATGCGCCAAAACGCCATAGACAAATAATATTAATAGGTCTGACACAATACATAAATCCTATATTATCTGTTTTTCTATAATAGAATCATTTAAATATTTATCACTATAAATATGTAATTTGCATATAAATACCAAATATATTTTATAAAGTTTTTAAAATTTATTTATAAAAAAATACACATATCTATATCAATATTGTATTAATACTTTTTATTAGACATTTCAATTACTAAGCACGACAGTCAGCTTCTTTTTCTGATTATATTTTAAAAAAATATAGAAAAGATATTCTCATGTTTGTACCTCTCTATTCGAATTGGCGTAATTTTTTTTAATCGCACAATCATCTTCTAGTACATGCAAATATCGATAAATCATAATAGTACTAGATTCTTCAGGAAGTTATATAAAACTGTATCTAAATAAGGTGAAGCTCATTTAACTACCATGATAGTCTAGTTAGTTGTTTATAGGCTCAGCTTTTATACGTCGTTTACAGCACTTCCAAAATTAATAAAATTATCATAGATGTATCTTATCGTTCTTAGTTTACTAGTTTATCGTTCCTCAGGCACTAATAGCACTACAAATCTTCCAGTTATCCATTGATTATTGCAAAACATTGGCCTTAGAATCACGTTCATAGGAATAATTCCTATGGTTTTTACTTTGTATTTTTTTTAAATATATTCAATTTAATAGTAACTAATTTCTGTATCATAGATAACATTTTACAATGAAATTTAAAAATAAAATTTAACACTGCACGTAAAATTGTCTCAGAGCCTTTAGAAATAAGTTTTTATTCATTATAAGTATTTGAAGCTAGATATGTTTAGAGTGAAAAGTTTTCATTTTAAATTTAAAATTTGAAGTAAACATTGTTCTCGCATAAAAATAGTTTTTTATTTCCACGTCTAAACACCTTTTAGGTATAAGTAATATTATATATTAAAAGTCCCAACCAGTGTACTCTTCGCATGAGCTATTTTTGTATTCGACAAATTCTCATTTAAAAACTTAAAACATACTTGTATTCATAGATAAATCAAATGTTGATGGGAGTGCCAACAGATTTCAAAATCAGACAAATGTCAGACTAACGAATGGGCAGGTCCGTCCGGGTAAGTACCACGACCTCACAGAAGACCGGCGTGAGGTGGAAGTATAATACTTCCGCGTTTCGTCTGGTGAGCGAGGTAGCCGGTGCCCGCTTTAATGAAACGTGGCATCGCATTTCAAAACTACGAGTGTTGCAAATGTCAAAGGGCGGCAGTTATCACTTACATCAAGTGAACCGTCAGCTCGCTTGCCACCTTCGCACATAAATAAGCAATCATGACATTTACAATTAAATCTACAATCAATGCAATTCGTCATTTAATAAACGCCGAATCGAGACAGCTCGTGAAGCAACTCGAGTCACGAGTCGTGTCAGCACGAGTGACTCCAGTTGTAAATCTAGTATTATTTATTATGCATCAAAAGGTAGACATGAAAAATGTTGTATTAACATCATCATTTCAGCCTTTTTGAGTCCACTTCTGAATATGGGTCCGCCCCACAGAATGACACGGAGTACGACCCTGAGGCACCAGCCTCCATCGATTTCCCGCACGCTTACATTGGTCACTCAATCTGGTCAGGGTCGCCCTACATTACGACAGCCAATACGAGGCTGTCATTTGATAACTTTTGTTCCACAAAATTTAATACTTCACAGCCTTTTCAAAAACCTTTTTGGACATCATTTAATAGGCCTGTTGTGTATAATCAAATACTTAGGATAAATTACTAAGTCTTTTATCGCATACCCAGTGCATTCCATTGCCGGAGTGAAGGCCAAAGAAAGAAGCAGCAAATAAGTTTAATACGGGGACGAGAAAGACGGAGGCACCTCGAGATTTAAGGCTAAAGTGACAATACTGCCGACCTATTTTTGTTATTCCTTAAATTATCCTATCCTCTTATACCACTCGATGGAAACGTGTTAATGTGCCGGTGCTGTCAGTATGTTTGGAAATAGGCACACTTTTAACCGTGTGTATGTGCATAAGATATCTATATAATAAAATATTATTGTATAAAGTATAAAACTATGAAGGAAGGGTATATACAGGGTGATGTCATATCCCCGACTCTTCACAGCTGCAGTAGAAGATGTTTTCAAGCTTCTGGATTGGAATCGAAGTGGTATTAACATCAGTGGCGAATACATCACCCACCTCCGATTTGCCGACGTTATAGTCTTTAGGCCAGAATCTCTGGAGGACTTAGTAATATATAACTAACTTAGTAATGTTATATATATTGTAACTTAGTAATATATAATAACCTCAATAGTGGCTCCCAACGGGCGGGCCTTAAGATGAACATGGATAAGACAAAGATCAAGTCTAATTTCCATGTCACGCCTATACCGGTTAAGGTTGGGAGCACTGCGCTCGAAGTTGTTGATGAGCCTGAGATTACCTAGGATAGGTAGTCCGGCTAGGTAAGTCCAACTTCGGCGCACGAGGTCAATCGATGAATCCAACTCGGATGGACAGCGTTCGGTAAACGTTAGTAAATCTTCTCAACGAATATACCTCAAAGTTTGAAGACTAAAGTCTTCAAACAATGTGTGTTGCCAATGATGACATATGGAACCGAGATATGGATCCTTGTTCTGGCCGCATGAGAAAGCTCAAAGTCGCTTAGCGAGCTATGGAGCGGGCTATGCTCGGTATTTCTCTGCGTGATAAAGTTCATAACGAAGACATCCGCAGTAGAAAAAACCGTCTAAGTGCGAGTCGGCCATGCATGCACACGAAGGGTTCCGTACCACTACTTATAAAAACGGCAAAAAAACATGCCTGTTTTATGGGAGCCCCACTTAAATATTTTTTTATTGGTTTTTAGTGTAGAATGACCCCCTACTGGATAGTGACCTGTGCAATTGTGCGGGAAGTCGATGGCTGCAGATGGCTCAGTAGTGGAGTTTAAGAGGCCGAAATGATGATGCAGATGATACAGTATAAAATCATTCATTGGAGGAATTTGACTCATATTTACATTTTTGTTCCATAGGCAACTCTAATTTCTGATTTAGGCATGCATTCAATTTATGAGTACTCAGTACTCTGTACTCTCGTTAAGTACATCGTTGTGTGGACTGTGGTACTCTGTGCATTTAATCAAAGTGACACTGACAGTCAACAATATCATAATATATTGTAAACATTCGAATACGATTCCCACATGTTTCTTTGTTTTCATTAAAAATATGGCAAAAGACCCGCTGAACGAGCTACTACAATTTCTGAAACCGGAATCTAGGGTTGATTTGAAACACATATCTTTACAGAATTTGATCGGCGTCTCGGCCACCGAAGAGGGCGTCGAGGCCATTTTGAAGAATGAAAATATAGTCAAAAGTGTTATCGATAACACGGACGATAAAGCCGAGGAAGTCGCTAAGAGCGCACTTCTACTACTCATTAATATAACAGCCTACGCGAAAGGCGCCAAGGAGTTGTTAAAACTTAGACCAAATACAAGAAAAAGTGTCGTGGACATTTTTGTAGGTTATATACTCGATCCTCAGAAGAGTAACGCCGACGCAGCTTGCATGATCCTATCAAATATAACGAGGGTCGAAGAGAATGTTGAAAAATGCGTTGACATACTAATCACACATCTAAATGATTTACTAAACGTCTTCACTAACACCGGGTTTAACAAAAAGGGCTCTAACTTGGATTACATTGCACCAATGTTGAGTAATTTGAGTTGCAGCCCTCGCATACGGCGTTGGTTGACAGAAGAAAACCCTCATGTACCATTGATCAAGTTGCTGCCTTTTTGCCACTATGCAGGATCTGTAATAAGGAGGGGGGGTGCTATAGGCACTATACGGAATGTAACATTCGACGTTCAATACCATAAGTTCTTACTGACATCAGATCTAGACCTGTTGACGTACCTCCTCATACCTTTAATGGGTAATGAAGACTACCCTGATGAGGAAATGGATACCTTGCCTATAGGGTTGCAGTATTTACCCAAAGAAAAACAGAGAGAAGAGGATATTGATATAAGAAAAATGATATTGGAAACACTCAACAAACTCTGTATTAAAAGGGAATCCAGAGAGTTCTTGAGGGAAAATGGAGTGTATTACATTTTAAGGGAGTTTCACAAATGGGAGAAGGATCCAACAGTGCGTCTTGCTTGCGAGAATGTAGTAGATATATTAATACAGAAAGAGGAGGAGGTTGGTGCTGAGGATCTCTCTATGGTGGAAGTGCCAGACGATATGGTGGAGAAATTTGAAAAGATGGACGCTGAATATATTAATACTACATAGTTATTTATAAACTTTCGTAAAATATCAAATTAAATTATTTTTGTTACAACAAGTTTTACATCATAGTCATCCTCTTAATTACTTAGTTTCTGAGAGTAGTCAAACAAACACAGCTTGGGAACTTTATGATAATACAAGCAAACTCAACAGATGTCCTGTACACACAACTTAAATCCGAGAACTTATAAATTAAAGAAATAAAAAAAGTTGTAGGGTCCCAAATTGTGAATCTAAACCATTCTCAAATCAACTTAGACAAAAAAAACTTCATTAAAATTGGTCCAGCCGTTAAGGATGACACAAGAAAATCCACACTGTAATTAAATGGGGAGGGAATCATTTTATAATATAAAAAAATTATAATGGATAGGCTTTAATCTTTCTTATAGAAACTAAAGAATAAATACTTGGAATGGAACAAAACCAAATGTGTACTTACATACTGACATTTATTTCTTCGTCAAAGACATTTATTATCAGGTAACAAAAGAGGTAACAAATATAGGACAAATGAAACATACTAAACAATCACAAAAATAGTGAAATATTACTATTACACTTTAATATTTATTTTCGGTCTGTTACATTTCTAGATACATAAACATTTATTTTCTAGAAAAATTAAAAAAAAGAATACAGAAAATTATTTTTACAAGTTCGAAAAAAAAAAAAACAGTGGTGGAAAAATTTTCAATAGCTCAATATTGTTTTTTGTCCTTACAATATTCTTATTTCACCTTTATTCTTATACAAAAAAATTCAATGTAGTCAGAATGGTCCAAGAAATACTTAATACTAGTAATTTTAAACCAAACAAATTTAATTCAATGGTCTTACCACATTAATGATAGTTTGATTTGCATTATAATAAAAAGCCTTTTTTTTACCACAAACTGTAAAATTAACACCATCAGAAGTAGAAGAGTGTAATTACTAATTTAACAACAGTTTAAATCGGACAGATAGACAACATTCAAGTTTACTATTTTAATGTAAATATTCTAGACTTATGTATCATTCACATGAAAATATATTTTGAGTGTAAAATAATATACAGCGTGTCGTTACAAACGCGACAGTGAATGAACAATCATACTTAGGATAACTTTAATATTGTATTAAACATTTACATTATTTAAACATCAATATTTACCGAGTAATTAAAAACACTTATAAAACTGTAACGTAAAGTTCATTTGTAAAGGTCACAAAGTGTATGAATGGGTTGAATGAATTTAAAAGAGATAAAACATACTGTTAGTAGGAGAGATTTGTAATGCGACGCTGTAGCAACAAATGAAAGTCTCCGAATGTATGGATCAGTCAGTTGTAGTTGTATAGGTGTTGCAAATTTTGTTTCTTTTTCATTTAATTAGTTGAAAAATATTTTTTTATGATTATTGGCAAGTAGCGTTAGACGTGTGTTCATTTATTGACACGGTGGTAATGACACGCTGTATACACATAATCTCTGAGCAGAGGCTTACACAGTCCATCTTACATTTGTTAGGGAACCGACATTAGTTTGTATTTGCAGGGCGGTAATTCTTGACTCCATCCATACGAGCTTTCCTACGCTCCGAGGGGGTACCTCCCTTTAACTTCATAATAATGTGAGGTGCTTTTTTACTCAAGTCTGGCTTATATGATGCAGTGTTCTCCTACAAAATGAAAAGAAACATTACAACAACTTAAATAGTCACTTACATCAAGATTTTTACGCAGCGAGGATATCTACCTCTTAGCTTAGTGGTTAGAGGGTCCAGACGTGTTACCCAGAAGAAGCAGGTTGGAATCCTGGTAGCGCCCCAACACTCGTCAATTTAAATAAATAATAAATATTTAAGGACACATTTTTACACAACGTTCTCTAGTCCCAAACTAAGCAACGCTTGTACTATGGGTACTAGATAACCGATAAACATAATTTTCTTTTGTAAATAAATACATATTATACATACATAAACACCCAGACACTGGAAAAACACTATGTTCATCACACAATATTTTTCCAGTAGTGGGGATCGAACCCACACCCTCTGACGCAGGAGGCAGGTACACTACCCACTACGCCATTCGGGTCATTTATGTATATATTTTAAAGTTATTCTCAAGTTCAGAGACTAGCACTAAAAGTAAACTTTATTATTAATTGAATTAATTTATCAAAGTAAATGTGTAATAACAGCCTATATATATCCCACTGCTGGGCAAACGCCTTCTCTCTGTAGAGAGTATAGTCCACCATGCAAGCCCACTGCTAATTGGCAGACTATATATTTTCGAAATACACTTTTTTTTTTATTAATTAAATAAAAAAAAAGTGTATTTCGAAAAAAATATGCTGCTTCAGCTATGATAAGTCAGATGTGATAAGTCAGCACTTAATTTTACAATTTGGTGCTGACAGGGATTTGAACTCATAACAAGTTAAAATTATTAATGAGTATAATGAATTAAAAGCCAGTGCCCCTTAACTGAGCTATCACAGTTACATCATGAGTAAATAATTAACAATTTTTAACTATAAAGAAATAAAAGGATAATATGCATTAACCAAACCAATAGTTGAAGCTAATAGTTTAGGAGTTAAGCATCAATTATTATGCTGTGAACTAATTGAATGAATATCATAGTCCTTGTGATTTAAGCTAATATCTACTTTAAACAAAAACCTGTGGCACTACGGTACTGCCGCAATAAAGCTGCATATTATTTTTTATCAACTTATGCAATTATATTTATTTTTTATTAATGCAGTATTTTATTTTCTTTAATACACTTTTCGAGAGTGGTGACTGATAAGAAAACATCTTTTTTTTTTCTTTTATTGAATAAATGAGAAGTTAATATCGTTTAAAATATTTTTATTATCTTACAATACATGTAGGTCATTCAGGAATTTTTATCATTGAAACTTAAGGTTTATGGTAACTGAAATAAGAAACATAACTTTCAGACTTGATATCCTCTAAATATCACATCATCATATGATAATATAATATTATAATATCCATCCGTGCGAGCTTCGTACAGTCGTACCATATGCATACACGTTAAGCGAACGCTCGGCCGAGCTACATTCTAGGCGGAGTGGGATGTGTTAGGTTTTATTTTCGTTACGGAATTTCTTGATTCGGTCGCCGCGCTCCAAGCTCGCGATAAAAGCTATGCAATAGCTTAATTCTCTCATTGCATTTCATGAAGTGAGAAGTAACACAAGAAAGTTTTTTTTTAATGTGTAAAGTTGTCAAGCGAACAGGAGGTTCACCTAATGTTAAGTGGTTACTGTCACCAATGGACGTCCACGACACCTGACGGGTTGCAGACGAGTTGACAAACTTTAAAATAAGTTGGCCCGGTTACCTCACGTACCAGACGATACGCGAAAACATAATACGTCTACTTCACACTGGTCTTCTGTAAGGTACTTCCCCGGACCAGCCTGCCAGTTCGTACAACAGCAGAAGCTAAGCTGCTGGAAAATACCACCACCCACCGTGGGCTCGTGCGGTTAGTAGCGTCGTTTCTCCGGGACCGGAAGTTCGTCGTACACGTCGAGGGAGCCGACTCGGCGGTACGATGTATCAAAGCCGGTGTACCACAAGGTAGTTGTCTGTCGCCACACCTGTATGCGGTGTACACGGACGACATTCCCACCTTGGAGCAAAACGCCTCCGACTGGGATGAAGACGTACTGTTGGCCCTGTACGCGGACGACAGTGCGTTCTTCACGTCTTCACACAACGCGGCGTTTGCGGCGAGGAAGATGCAGCGCCAATGGGACCTGCTGCCCGAGTGGTTGGATAGGTGGCGGATGTCTGTCAATGTTGACAAAACGTCCGCCATCTTCATCCGCCACATCAAACACCAACCCACGCTTGAGCTGCGAGGTCAAGCGATAACGAACCAGGACACCATCAGGTATCTTGGGTGCCGGATAGACCGCTCGCTGAGTATGGCGCCCCAAGTCGAACACTCTGTTCGACAAGCCAGGGCAGCTCGAGCGGTCCTTTACCCAATCCTGGCATCCAAGCTACCTGTTAAGACAAAACTGAGCGTCTATAAAACCTACATCCGTTCGCGCTTGACCTACGCCGCTCCGGCGTGGTATGCACTGGTTTCCGCCTCGCAGAGGCGCAGGCTCCAGGCGCAGCAGAACCTCGCCCTTCGAGCAATCGTGGGAGCCGGGCGTTACGTCAGGAACGACGTAATCGCCAGAGACCTGAAGATCGTGTCCATCGAGGAGTTTGTGGTCCGGTTGGCCCGTCGCTTGTACGACAGGGCTGACAACGGACCACACCCACACCTGGAGAATATTGCTCCACTCCACGCCCGTCCTCCTGACGGACGTCCGCTCCCACGAGAGCTACTGCGGTCGGAACAGGCCATTGGGGGGCCGGACCCGACCGCACTTCCGCCGCTGTGTCGAAGACGATGTCGTCCTCGCGTTACACACCGCGTGTAACGCCGTACACCCGCAAGTGCCGCTACCGCGGTCAGGGATAGGGATGGCCGATGGCCATCCTCACCACCGACCAGCCATTCGCTGGTCGATATACATGCCCGAGTAATGGGGACAGGGCCCCCGAGACTCGTTTAAAGCAGGCCTCGCGCCAGCTTCGTACATCATCATCAGCAGAAGCTATTGTGTGGCCCCACCACGGCAGTTTCTATTGTAAAATACCGTAAAAGGTCTTGTTTGTGCATGAAGGACATGTTACTAATATAGGATAAAGGGTTCCGTAAAGTAATGGGAGGTCAAAAGCAGTCACTCACGTCTTCCCAGTTCTCCTCGCAAGGAACGACTGGAGGCTGAGACACCAGGTTAACAGTGGGCCTGTATTCATCGTCCGTAATGTACAGCTGAGTGTCCAGCATATGCCTCTTCGGGCAAACGCTTACGTGATACTGAAACATGGTTAGGAATGTTAGTTATTTTGTACAAATTCACGAAGGTGCAAATATGAACGGGCTCAACCGATGGAATAAATTAAAATTGCTTAAAGTGGTGCGAAGCATTCGTAGTATCAGTCCAGGCACTCTCTTTTAATATAGTACTGGAGCAACTAAAGTACGAATCACAGTCCTGACACAAATGGAATTGTCAATTGCAATTTAAAGTGCTTATATATATGTTCATATGGTTGAATGAAGGGATACATCGTTAGGAAATCCGCTTCTTTCGAAACAAAAACGATAATTATTTTGATGATATTTGAAGTCTGACAATTTGCAGTGGATCACCCTGATTCCCTCAAATTTCAACAATTATTCATTTTAGATTATTGAAAATATAAGCAAATATTGAAAATTCTGAAATGTGTGTGGAATTTGCAGAAATTGTAAGTGTCAATCTTTTTGTTTTGACTAGATACTAAATATTTTTATTAATTAATTGGACTGCATGTAACTAATATCCCACCTTGCGGGTAATGGTAATAATTATCATTGACAGTAAAAGAACATCCCATGGAAAAGCTTTAAGAATATTTTAATATGTTGTAATCCACTGGTGGACATAAGCCTTCCCCACTCTTGAATGGTGGATGTGGCTCATGGGATCGCTCTCAAACCAAAAAGACACTTAAGGACTGATAGGAAAACTGTTTATTTCAACTTAAACATTTTGAACTTATTTTTGGACCAAACATAGTGATTATGAAATTTATATAAAATACAAGTTATGTCAGACAGCTAGACATGTTACTTCTACAAACAATTTTTACGGAATCTATCAAATATGACAAAATTCAGTCTGAACAAATAAAACTAACATTCCAAATTTAAAGTAATTCAAACATAATACATAAATCAAATAGGTCAAGAGTTGATATCAAAAGAGTATGTATAATCTGAGATTACCAATCAACACCCACAGACTGTCACAAAGCAAAGTTCTTAGCCACATGGATCCATCAACATAACTTAAGAAATTAATATTGTCTAAACATTCAACAGATACATGTATGGCAAAGTAGTCACTATCTGGTACATTTTGTGACCATACAAGCTATGAAGAATCGCTGACATCACCTCTCAATTAAAATTTAAAATGACCCTTACATCTATCTCAACGTCATTCACTACATGTGTCGAGTCAAACGGGCAGTTCATTTTCTTGCAGTTGGGATGCTGCTTACGACACTTCTGCAGGTGTATATGCATCCTGTAGTGCTCCACCTGGTGCGCCGCATTGTAGGGGCATGTAATAAGCTGGTTGGGACTAGGCTCGGACATTGCGCTGTGAAATGCACACAAAAATTACTTTCAATGTTTAATATTGCTATTATTATAGCGATAAATAGAAAAAAAGTGGAGTTTTATTTTACCCCACCGTGTGTGGAAACTGTAAAGAAATATGCATATCTTAAATATGAATAAATAACATGTGAAGAATATACAATAGAACCACATCACAGACTATGTACTAATTAATAACCTCTTTTAAGAGAAAGCATTTGCCCTTCATTGGGAGATTAAAGTCTTAAACTTACTCTTTGAATATGACATATCACTTAGGGGTGTTACACAAAGATAGCGGATTTCTACAATTCACAAATCTACATCTTTCACACAAATAACATACAGTAATAAGGAACAATGTGTACATTGTCATGGTTCCAGCAAATTGTATATACCTTCAGTTCCAAAAATATGTACTCAATGTGAAGAGCATAGAGTTGTAGCCACTTGTAAACATCAAAAATATGTATACGCTAAATGCTTCATTATATTATGTCTAATTATCTACGGAAGGGACAAAAATATGTATGGCCGTTTCCGTCAATAGCATTTATTCATGGTCACAAGTAAAAATATGTATAAAACAAATTTCATAACTCAGTGTACAAAACAATTAATTTTGGTAAATGTAAATAACTTTAACTCCGGCGTAATTCAATTGAAATAAATTTTAAACGATAGAGAGGGATCACTAATGAATTAATCAACAAGCAGAATTCGGCGGTCGCTTATAGTTTTCGAGAAATAAATATTTAATTGTTAAATATTTTTTTGTTAAATTAGGTAAATTAGTTTAAATGTTTATGATAAGAAGTTAGGTGACGGCATATAATTTCTCTGCATGTAATATGATGAAGAAAACACTTTTGAACACGCTCTATGAAGTAACTAAATTTCCATAAGGTTAGGTGTTTTTAAACATTTTACCACATTTTTATTAATCTCGTTAATCAAAATAACTCTGTTGTTAATAACAATCCCCGAATCAACGTTATAAATTTAGCATATTCAAATTGTTATAATCGGTAAAGAACGCTCACTCACGACTCGATCATCGTATCGTTAGTTTTACCTTTTTTTATTGAATTTTTAAATGCTAATTTTTCTTTTTGTACCAAAACACCTTGACCTTAACTTTAATACCTCAGTTATTTTTTTATCACCACAACCAATCAATTTCAGTCTAAATGTCTTATCTATGGTAATCATCTCAAACCTATGTCATCTATGGTGACCATCTCAAAAAGGGTGAATCTGCCCGACAATATCAAAGTATCTGCCAAACTCAACTTCAAAAAATGCAAAAATATGCCCTCATATTAATGTATCGTTTGAGACTTTCTCGTCATCATGCATGGAAGACACAACCACACACATTAAACTCCAAAAGAGAATAAGGATTTTTGATATGGCAACTTTCATCCGATGCTAAGTAAGGGATTTCCGGATTATTGTATTTCAATGTAGGTACGTCATATAATTATGAACGGTAAAAATCAGCATTAAGGTTTATTTTCTTATTAATATAATTGATAATAATATTATGATTAAGCTTCATGTCAATGTTTTGTTCTTGTCTAATTTAAATTATTCTATATAATTGAAAATTAGAAAATAAAACAAAGGGATGAAAGCTGCCATAACAAAAATATAGACATTATAATTATAAGTAATTACACAACAGACAGACAGAATATTATAAGTAAGCTAAAGATTAATTTAACCGTACAAAAAGTTTAGAAAGTAAACAAACGCATTGGGATTTTTTTCAGGAGGGTTTTACTTTAGCATTGCTGTAGTGTAAACAGTCACTTGTCTGGTGTCCGCCACTGGCCACTGTACTTATACTCGCTGTTCGCCACTGTCTTATATAAATCGGACTTTGAATAAAGCGTTATTTTTTTTTTTTTATTATTCGTTATGAATTATGTTTTTGGAATTACATAAAATGATTTTATAAAATGATTATGATTTCTTTAGATGACCAATAGTCATCTAAAGAAATCATAATGGACAATTTTTTTTATAAAATTAAATTTCCTACAATTTTTGTTTAAACACTTTATAAGACCAACTTTTTTGCTGCAGTATCCTTCACTGTATTAATTGATTTAAGTGGAAATTAACGCTAAAATCTTTGGGCTATTTATTTTTTAGGGACATATTATTTAGGGACAAATATTTTCGGGAGTTGGTAACACTGATCTTATTGTCATTTATTTAGGGATGGTGTTACCTTATTTAACGTATATTAACTTTTCGTACTTTTTCTACATATTTTCATGTTTAATCTTAAGTGCAGAGATTAGCACTATAAATAATTAAATTTCTGAATAATAAATTCTAATAAAATGTTAATTTTTTATTAATTCTAATCAAATTTCTTTTATTAATGTAAATTTCTCGGTATGTTATTTAACAAGACCTTCATTGGAAAAAAAAAAACAAACCGTTTATTAAGTAAGATTAGTAGTAAGTGTATTAAGGAGTTTTAGCCAGAATCGAATCAAAAAATAACTAATTAAAAAACAAGTAACTTTGAAAAAAAAACGTTTTAAAAAAAAGAATTGTTTAAAACGAAATTAATAATGGGTCAAAAAGAAAGCCGTAGCGACTTGTCCTAAAAGACAAGCCTAGATCAACAGAATTTAGTAATAGTTGTTTGATTGACATGAAAATGCTGAACGATAATTTAAAGAAGTTACTTATGTGGTTAAATGATAATAATTTTTTTGTTGCCAAGATGCCATTAATATTTTGCATGCTATTTATAAATTAACATAACATAATATGTAGTTCAATATTAATGATTTGTAACACCTCTATACTATGTTGTACCTAAGATATGGATAGTATAAAGTACGAAGCATCAAATTGTAGTATAAATACCATAATTATAGTAAAAAATGCAACTCTGATTAAACACATTTTTTTTTTTCGTTCATTTTATCCTTTACGCATTTAAATAAGTTTGAATAACAATATCGTTTTTGATACGATTTCGACATTTTCGATATATCGAAATAAAAAAAAATTATTTCGATATATCGATATTTTTTCGGCATCCCTATAAGTAAGTAAGCCATTGTTTAATGGATTTATCATCTTAGTAGTCTGTGGGATTTGTATTTGAATTTTTGTCATTAAAAACGGGGGAAATCTACAGTATTTGAATTAGTTTTGAATTAGTCAACAATAAATAATTAATTTCGTTTCCTGTTAAATCAGATAATGGATAAAATGAATGATTTGCTTAATGAACCCGTGCAACTTTCTCAGGGGATTGAATTGAAGTAAGTACCTTGGAGAATTTTCAGATGAAACTTGAGTCGTTGTATGAAATAAATGTAAATATATGTATGTAAATGTATTTTATAATTTATTTTTTTGGTAAATTAGCCCCTGACTTTGTCACAAACTTTGTCTTCATAAGTTTGTGTTGTCATCATTTCACCGAGTTTATTTTGATAGACTCGATGAATACTAAAGACATATAGGGTACCTTTTGGTTGTAATAGTGGTATTCTGACCTTTCTTAATTTTTTATGCCATAAAAGCACTTTGGTACAGTTTCTAAACAGTCAGAAACTAACTTACAGAAAGAAAGAAAGAAATGTTTATTTGGTACGAAAAAAAACTTAAAATAACAAAATGCACCAAAAAGGGTCATACACTCAGCATTACATTGCGAAAAAACCGAAGAAAAAACCGGGGAAACCGAAGGTTTTGTCTGTGCAATACAGGATCAGGTTATTAAGACGAACAACTATCGGAAATACATCCTAAGGGATGGCACCGTCGACATCTGTCGAGCTTGTCGCCATCCCGGGGAGTCGCTTCGGCATGTTATCTCCGGTTGTTCCATGCTTTCTAACTTTGAGTATCTGCATAGACACAACCTAGTAGCCAGAATCCTACACCAAGAGCTCGCTCTGAAATACGGCCTCGTGGAACGGAAACTACCGTACTATAAGTACTCTCCGGAGGCCGTGCTCGAAAATGACCGCGCCAGGCTCTATTGGGACCGGTCCATCATCACGGACAGGACGATTGTCGCGAACAAACCTGATATCGTGTGGATGGATCGGGCACAGTCGCGGGTAATTTTGCGTCGACATTACCATTCCATATGACGAGAACCTCGTGAAAGCCGAAACAGATAAGAAGACGAAGTATCTGGACCTGGCTCACGAGGTGACCGACATGTGGGGTGGTGTGCCGACCGAAATTATTCCAATCGTCGTATCTGCGAATGGGTTGGTCCCAGCCAGCCTCTCCGGACATCTGAGGCGACTGGGACTCCGGGACGGAACGCTCCAAGCTCTAATGCAGAAAGCAGTGCTCCTCGATACCGCCCGCATTGTCCGATGGTTTCTCTCCCTTTCACCCTAACCCTTGGCCATTTGGTCTCCCCTGCCGAGGGCTTCCGTCTGATTGGGTCCTATTTATATGTGTATTATATGTAGTATATTTTTATATGTATATGTTTATTTTTATGCATAATATTTATTGTATATATACAAAATCTATATGTTTATTTTTTATTTATAAACCCAACCAGACAAGAAATCAAATGAATATCCCCCCAAATAATAATAAACAAGCATAAATTTAACAATAAAAGATTATTAATAAATATAACAACATTTGCATGTTAAATTTTTGGACATGCCTGTCTGTGTATGTATTTTATTTGTGTGTGCGTGCATGTGTGATTTGTATGAGCGATTGGGATTATAAATGTGTGTTTGGATTTGGAACAGTCACAAAGTTTATTATTTTATGGAAATAAAAAGGGGACAGAGACTTGTGTTGTATGAAATTATGTATGATGGAATTCTTTGCTTCTTAACACCTCTCTGAAAGATCACAATCAAAATTATTTACCAGATGGGAAACAGATTAATGAAGAAAGAATGAACTTTTTCAATGAAGTAAGAGAATTTCACGAAAACATGATAGCTGTCTTTAACTTTTTTTCTACTTAAAATTAAAAAAACTTTTATAAAGTATTTGCACCTCGGCAACTGTGTCTATTTTTGTGGATGTTTATTTCATACCCATATTTTGTTTTTAGCAAACTTTTCACGTCTCCAACCGAATTCCACATAGACGTGGACTTCAAAAAGGGAATGTCAGATTCATTCTTTAATGAGGATGATACAATGGTGGAGTCTGATACGGACAACAGGTATTTATTTATCTACTGTCTTGTTTTTAACATTGTATTAGCTCTTAGTAAGTAATAACTGTAGCCTGTGGAGGCTCACATATCCCGAGGGTTTTATTTTGTCGGTTTTTAAATTCCTATAAATTAATTCAACATGCAAAATGTTAACATATAAATGTGTACTTCGTGCTTACCCTGTCTTCCATGAAGCACTTACCTGTTCTTTTTTTTGTATTTCTTTTTTAATTTAGAACTGGCCAGCACTTGACTTCCATCGCACCTGATGGTAAGTGGCGATGCAGCCTTTGATGGTAAGCGTGCTAGCTCAGTAAAAACCTATTCACTCTTGCCTTGAAAACGCCTACATTGTAATCGGAGGGAAAGACATAGTTTGTCAACATTAGCGTTTTCCGTTTTTGAATCTCTCTGTGCTGGTTGACTGGGAGATAATGCCTTTAGCATTAAGTCCGCTTTTGTACTATTTTTGCATAAAGGGTAAATAAATATAATTAAATAAAGACGGACGCCGGCAGGTTAAAATGCTCAAATTGTGCGAAGTCGTTGTTGCTTTATTATTACAGTTAACGGCTTATGACTGAACACTGATTGATATGTTTTTGAGGAAAGCGATGTTATGGATATAGTCAACGATTATTTAGTAAATTGCACAGTCGGCATTATACAAACTTAACTGCTCGCTGCTAAATTCGATTATCGCAGGCCTCTTAAACAAACTGAGGGTACATTTCCAATTCGCTTGCAGCGACTGCGAAGACATTCTCAATACAATAGAGCGGTCCACTGAGCAAATGCTGCTCGCCTCTCCCGAGTACCATTCGTTCAGTGAACTCTCCGTCAAAATGATAGACTGCGTGCCCAGCGGTGACGTGAAGATGCTCATAATCGAGGAGGGTAGGTAGAGATTGTTACAGACTGTGGGTAGTTAAAAGTTTTGATTATATCTAGGTACTAGATAGCTTGACAGTTTGCTGGATTAAGTTGTTGGTGGTACACCGTTTAAACTAGACGAAATGGTAGGGCCACGCGACAGCCTTTGATGTTTAACGTCGACGTCCAGGAAAGTACCACGGCCGCACAGAAAACGGGCGTGAACTGGTTACTCTCTGATGCCTCACTCATACGAAATGCACGAGTATAATACTTTACTTTTGCATTTCATCATCATCATTTATTTATTTATTTATTTATTTATTTATTTATTTATTTATTTATTTATTTATTTATTTATTTATTTATTTATTTATTTATTGCACATCCATTAAGTAACAAAAGGTGTTAGGGTAATTGGTAAAATAGTTCTTTATGGACCCTGTTTCGGAGAGAGCAAGATGTATAAGTAGTTGGTATTTTGAGTGGCGATTTATTTTTATAAGTAACATTTATTAGTTTTAATTTATATATTAATTATTAGTAATTAGTTTAATATATTTATGATGTGAGATCATTATGTGTTATTTATGTCTATAATATCCAAGGTATCTCCAAAATATTCTTTTATATTTGTTTATGAGATAACAGGGGTCCTGTTTTTAAAAGGCGACAACGCATTTGCAACCCTTTGGGTGTTACAAATGGCCGGCGCTAACCATCAGCTTGCTAAGCACCTTTCTTATATAAAAAAATATAAGTTTTTTTTTTATGCGAAAAGTTGCCAAACGAGCAGACGGTTCACCTGATGGTAAGTGGATACCGCCGCCCATGGACATCTGCTACACCCTAGGGTTACAGATGCGTTGACAACCTTTTGAAAATTGGGCTCCGGCTACCTCACTCACCAGACGAAACGCGAAAGTATTTGTCATACTTCCAATTTTCGCCGGTCTTCTGTGAGGTCGTGGTACTTACCCGGACGGGCCTGCCCATTCGTGCAACAGCCGAGGCTGCTGCGTGGCCCTACCACCGTTAAAGTTTATTTATTCACCGTGAAAAGCAGTATAAAAATTGGTCATTTGACAAAGATTTGTATTTTATGGCTACATTCATGCCTATTGCTTATAACGTTTTCTTTTTATGAGTTACACGGTGGCAAGCGGGCTGGCGGTTATCCTGATGGTGAATAATATAGCGGCCCCGGCTACCTAACTAACCAGACTAAGCCGCAGTATACTTCTGCGTCACGCAGGTCTTCTGTTAGGTCGTAGTTCCCCGGAAGGGTCTGCCCATTTGTACAACAGCGAAGACTTGCGTAGCCACCATCTACCACACCGAATGATGGTGATACCTTATTGCATGGCTCATTTGACGGATCTGGTTGCACTCTTTTATAGCTTAAGCGGTTTATACCGCTCTGGATTGAACTTGATCGTTTAGAGTCGACAGATTCACTAACATTGTTTCAAAAAAAGGCTCATATCTATCTTAGCAAGTAGACTGAGATCTCTACTCATGCATACATCTACACTGCTCTACCTGTATTAAATCCTAAAACGTGATAGACAGACAGTTGTACTACAAGCAAAGCAGCGGTTATAGAACTTGAAAATTTTTCAAAAACCCCGTTTAACACATTTGCTGGAAACGTTGGAATGGAATTCAGTAATATCTTCTTGTTTTTTTTTTTTGTGCTTTGTTAAGGCGACGGCCCGCTAGTGCCGGTTGACGCGGAAGTTACCCTGCATTACGCCGCCTATTGGGAGAAAGCAAAGATCCCCTTCGACTCGACCCTCACAATGAACTCCGGAATTCCCCTGGTACGAAAGTTCCCTGGTACGAAAATTCCCCTAGTACGAAAATTCCACATGGCATTGTACTCCCGCTCTCACATTGCACGTCTGAATAAACGTGAAACGTGCATGTCAGAGCTGAAGAATTATTTGGTATCACGTCAGCTGCTGGGATATCATCAGATAACGCTGATGTTACCAGCGTTATTGGTGAGTGAGTGTCTTGCTGACGGTACGAGCAATCCTGATCTCAGTTTGGGTGTAAAATATTCGTCATGTACTATTGTAATTTGGCCGATGCAGCGGCGGTAATACACTCGAGCAACCAGAATTAAAATCCCGGTGCCAACACCAACGATATTAATTATAATTCTAACGCCCGATTTCTAAACTTTGAATTGACCATTCTGATCATTAAGAAGACCATTCTAATCAATTCAGATGATTAGTTAACTTCTACGATAATTCTGAAACCGGGCATAAGTGTTCCAACCGGACACAGACCACTTTAACATACCTTTTACCTACCTACCTTTATCCACTTTAACATTAATTGTAGCATAACCTTAACTGTAACGTTTAGGAGGACAACTAAGCAGGCCAGAATTAATGCCATGAACGTCCTGGCCAAAGTATTGCATATTCTACACTTTCGCAATAATAACCTTTTTGCCAATACTTAGTAGCTATACTGTTTCGTCTCCACCATATTTTTAAAATGGGCAACTGACAGAAGGTTTGCTAAAATTACACGCGACAACCATGCAGATTTACAATACAAAAGTATTTACGTTTTAGGCTTAACTGAATTTCGAACTTTAATGTCGTAGCCCTTTTCGATTATGGCCTCCCAAAGCTTTAGAGTGTATTATGACTAACTGGCCTTGGGTTAGTCAAATTCAATCCAATTATACCAAGTGGCTTAACCTGGCTGAGTTATTACTGTTAAATTTATACCTTCTCACCTTCAAACTGTTGCTTTCGCATTATCTATGATATCTTCTTTTCCAGCGTTTACGTTTAGGTACAGGTAGCGTCCTGTTAGGTCTGGAGATCGGTCTGACGGCAGTGCGTGGCCCTAAGGCCAGGTTCCATTTGCTGCTGCAGCCGAAGGTGGCCTGGGGCGAGATGGGTGCTCCGCCCCGAGTCAAACCGGAGCCTGCGTTGTTCGTAATAGTCCTGTACGACGTCAAGGATGTCCAGGCGGCTGCTAGGTGAGCACAGAATAAACTTGCCCTAGGTGAGCATAGGATAAACTTGGCCAAGTCCAACCATTCCCAAAGGACACGTCCATCAAAAGAGTCATAGATAAATTGTCTAATATTTGTCACTAAAGTTTTTTTTTTAATGTGATTATAGGGAACTTTATGCAGCAAAGCACCGTTCAGCTCGGTCGACGTGCTAATAAAACAAATTGACTAATTCCAGGTCTTTGAAATCATTCGCTTTGGCCGGTCGGTAACACATTAGAATCTGCTCCCTGTCAATTTCAATAGGAGAAGGCGACTTTTACGCGATTTAAGAATGGCTTAAACACGCTCAGAGAAACCGCAAAACATGGACTCGATCTGAATCTCTGTTCCCTTTGCAGGTTCAACGACCTGCCTATGGAGGAGCAGGGGAAATTCGAGGTCACCCTCAGGACCGTCAAGTCCCTTCACGGCCAGGCGAAAGACCTGTTCAGCAGGAGGAAGTACGCGAGAGCAATAAAGAACTACCAGCAGTCGACCACCGTGCTGAGGCTGTCGCGACCGCAGTGCGAAGCGGAAGAGGCGGAGGTGAAGAGTCTGAGGGTCACCGCTCTGGTCAATTTAGCGGTGTGCTTCCATAGAATCGGCAAACCGAAGCACGTGCTGCACATGTGCGAGGCCATTGACCAGATAATCGACATAGAGAGTCACTGCAAGGCGCTCTTCTACTGCGGCAGGGCGCACGAGTCACTCGGCAGGCGGGAGCAGGCCCTAAAATACTACAACATGGCCCTAAAACTCGAGCCTAAGAATACTGAGATCGGCAAAGCGCTGTCCCATTTCGAGGGCCGCGCGCTGGAGTCGGCGGCGAGGGAGAAGGCGATGTGGCAGAGCGTTTTCAAGCCTTCGCCTCAAAACAAGAAGGTTGTCTATGGCGTGGACGCGGATTTCCAAGATGGCGTCCGCGAGATGTGTCAAAGTTTGGCGGGAAGTGGCGAGTACGCGAAGTTCGATCTGCCGGCCGGTCTGACGAGGCGCGAAGTGGACTGCATAAAGTGTTTAGTCAGCGAGTTTCAGGGCCTGACGGTCGACGAAGAAAGCGGGGAGAGGGGAAAACGCGTGACGATAGTGAATCAGCCGAAGTAACGCACACTGCTGGAGGAACGCTCGCTACGTGGGTTACAAGGCTACAGTTCGCGGAATTATATGCCGTGCAAATGTAACATATCTAGGAGCGTTTACTTCAAAGAGCCGTCTGAACTGTGGTAGGGCCACGGAACAGTCTTCTGTGCTGCACGAAAGGGCGGGTCCGTCCGGGTAAGTATCGCGGCCTAACAGGAGACCACCGTGAAATGGAACTTTTATACTATGTACGGTCGTAATTTACGAACGTATTATGTAAAATTTTGACATTTCATAAGAACGCGCAAGCGTCTATGTGAATAAATATATTTTTGATTTTGGTTTTATGCGTTTCGTCTCGTGGGTGAGGTAGCCTGGGCCCAAAGGGGGTCATGGGGGTCATGACCCCCCCCTAGGCTGGGTCCAGGACCTAGGGGGACCACTAATTAAAATTGTTAAACATAAAGTTTTCACATATTTTTTGCCACAATATACATTTTAATTAACTACCTTGAATATTTAATTAGATTAATATAATATTTTTAACCGACTTCAAAAGGAGGAGTTTCTCAATTCGATTGTTATTTTTTTTTTCGATGTATGTACACCGATTACGTGGAGATTTATAATCCGATTTACGTGATTCTTCTTTAGTTTGATGCAGAATAGTTGCTATTTGGTCCCACCATAGTCTGGCCAAGTAGTTTTCATTATGTGAACATGTTTACAATATTTTAATGTTTGTCATCAAATCTTGCAAATTAAATTTGATCTACTTCCCGGTTACCGGTTGAGCTGAAATATTGTATGGATGTGTAAATCGCGAGACAATGCAATATTTTTATGACATGGTGCTGATCTGATGATGGAGCTGGAAGGTGGCCACACAGAGCCTCATCGCGTTTGGGTACATTTGAATCGTATTGACGAGTAGTTTGTCTTTCATTGGTAATCAAGAGCCGTCCATTGACACATTTCTCCTTATAATAAAGTGGGCTTTGGCTACCTCACAAAAAGTCAAAACGCAGAAGTACTTTACGCCGATCTTCTGTAAGGTCTATGAGTGTATTCTGTGAGGTTCCTATGACCACTCTGTAATGAAACGACTCAACCCCATCGAGTTTCGGCTCGTTTGATTCGTCTTCGAGTTCTTTGGTGCTAGATGGTAACCATTAGCCGGAATGTGGCCATAGGAACTCAGTAATTAAGGAACACAACTGCTTCGAGTTTGATTCGTCTTAATGGTTGGACCGTTGGTGAGAGGTGTTGGTTTAGTGGACGTGAGCACGCGACCCCATCTTTGGGAAATAAAGTTTGTTCGTACCGTTTGTTATGAATGTGGATTTTGTTTTTGATTAGATGGATGAGCGCTGAATATTATGAAAGAATGAATGAATGACTGAATAAATTTTTTTTTTTTGTTATTTATGAACATTTTTTTAACGTGGACGATGTAATTTTAGTTTGTGTACGGCTATTTTAGGAGTTTTCATTTGGGTAGATTATATATTATTATTAACCCGTGTCCCTATAGTCCCGTCTTATGAGGAATTGAAAAATATTATAACCAATACGACTACATGAAATCTGGTAACGAAGAAATAAATAAAAAGAATTATTCAAAAAGAAAAATTTCAAAAATAACTAAGCCTACCAATAGCTACTTAAAAAAATACTATACAGGGAGGCTTTTGTAAGTGTCCATCCAAAAGTATACGACGCATTTATGAATGATTACCGCATCGTCAACAAGTTCTGTTTTTTAGGGAATAGAATACCTGAACCTCCTGTGTGAATTTGGGCACCTTTATAAAATCCACCCTGTATAATATAAGATAATAAAAAGCAACGATATGTTACGAAAAAAAAAGAATTTTGAAAATCCGTCTATATATGAAGAAGTTATGTCTGAACATACATAAAAAAAATGTAAACATCCAAATTGATAACCTCCTTCTTTTTGAAGTCGGTTAAAAATACCTATTTTTTTAATTGTGTCTGATTATAAAAATTAAATTATAACTTCTTATCACTTGGCCACGACTACGTGACCCCCTGACACCAAAGCTGGATCCGCCCTTGCCTGGGCCCACTTTAAAGAGTTTTAAAAGTTGGCAATACATCTGCAACGCTTCGGATGTTGCAAATGTCAATGGGTGGCAGTTATCACATAAGCCAAGGTGAATCGTTAGCTCGAAAAAAACCCGCTGATCGCACTTGACTCGTCGACTCAGCTGTTGGAATTTTTTTTAGGCGATTAACTAAAGATTTTATATTTGATTTTAAAGAACTGTTCAATGTTTTAACGACTACTCGGTTGGTAGAGTTGCTAAGCTATTGATTTCTTCAGGTGTGTGTTAGCTATATTTATCAATAGTTTACTGTACCTACCTCATTTGGGCACCAAATTGTATAACGACGATATGTAACGTCCTATTAACATAAGGTTATATAAGTGAGGGATATGTTTTTTTCAACTCTTAAAGTATAGAAAATAAATAAATAGATACGTATAAAAAAATTGTCCTTTTTGTTTCACAGCCTGAGTTGTCACATCCCCACAATGCAATGTTACAATTCCCTACTAATTCAAAATTCAAAAAATACCCACTTGTTCCCTGTTTTCTATAATAGCGCGATAGTTCAAATTTAATTTATGGAAAAAAATCAATATCTAGCAATAATAGAATAAAAAAAGTTCAATTAAAATAATTAAAAAAAGGAACCTTAAAATTATTTGAAAAATATATACATGTTTACCTGTACGTACTGTACTTTTATTGTACGTAATGTACTTTTATTGTACGTACTGTACTTTTATTGTACAGATACGATGCGCACTGATGAACGCAACCTCTACCGCCAGGCAGATGCCCGTATGACGTCCGGGAGAGTGAGAGATACAGCATATCTATTAACTGGTCTACCTGAAATTCTATCGATATACTGAAACGGAAAAGGTCAAAAGGTCCTATAAACCGTCGTCCAAAAAAAAGGGTTAAATATTTGACACCTATAAGGGACTCTATGCCAAATTAGATAACGTTTTTAATACGATTTTCGATATTGAATATTTCAGATCGATATGTCAGATCCAAATATATCGGCTGAAAATACCGACACAATTCGGCTTGCCAGCCACGATGCGCCAACTAAGATTTGTCACAAACGTTTCGCAAATAGCTAGAGATGGGTCGTATCGCTTTTTCTGAGTACCGTATCTGAATCAGATTTCGATTTCAAATATCAGATTTCGAAACTATGTATTTTAATATCTAGATATTTTACGGTCCCGTATCCACCTTGAATTCAAAAAAAAAATAATAATTTAGATTCCTCCGGGTTTAAATTTATTTATTATGTTTATATGTTTCGAATTTATTTACTCTTAAATAAATTCGAAAACCCACTAAAATTGACTAAATTCAAAAAACTTACTAAATTTAAAATCACGATTTTTTTTATACTATTAAGGTAAAATTAAAACATTACCTGATTAAATTAAAAATTTCATAAAAAATACAAATTGAAGTAATATAAAAATGATTTATTTTAACATCTTATATATCGCTTAATAATAGACTTAAACATATTTTTAGAACACGCAATCATGAGTGACAATATTTTTATAATTTGTGTAAGAAATAATACATTCAGTATTATAACTTAGGGCGGAAGAATTTAAAATATACACAAAAAGCACATAATCCTTGGTCTGATTTCCACCCAAGCAGCACAGCACTATTAAATTATATTTTTATTTTTGTGTAATTTTATTTTTTTCCAAAAATATGAATAAAATTTAACTAATAAAAGTATTCACAAAAAATTTACCTCCTAAAAAATTTCCATTGTATATTTTTCTTCCTTAATTTAGGCAGAAAATTCTTAAGTAGTAAGTTGACATCCCTTACTATTACGTGCTAGGTACCAATGCAATCCAGCTCAAGGCTAAACAAAATTTAAAGACATCGTTAATACCGTAATTCGTATTTAAATGCAACAAAGTTTTTTTCCATGCTGTTAAGATTCAAAATTACTTAACTTATTCATAATATCTGTTTAAAAATCTGATATTGTGCCTTGCTTGCCGTACTGCTGTAACTAGTGTAATATTTGTATCTCACGCGCTTTGTCACTCAAAATCTGATATCGTGCATTGCTTGCCGTCCCGCTCTAACTACTGAGTATTTATATCTCACGCGCTTTGTCTCTCGAAATCTGTTTAAAAATCAGATATTGTGGCAAACGCGTATGATATCGCGATTCGTGTCGGTATAGCAAGCGAGCACGGTACATCAGATTTCGGAAATATCAGATATTGTAAAATACATAGATATTGAACGAGCCAGTAAGCGATATTCGGATATTGTACTAATATCTAGTTTCCTTACCGAATACGATTTGTATCGCCCACTTCTACAAGTAGCCATAAACACAATGTTCCAATGCATTGTCCCAATGTGTCAAAGTGTACAGGGCAGTGATGTGACGAGTTGGATTTTTTTGGACTCGAGTTACTCGAGTTGATTTGGCTACTGACTCGAATCGCAACTCGAGTTGACTCGCATCGAAGTCTCGGCGACGACAACTCGGCCAATTCGGAGAGCACGAGTCGACTCGACGCTAATTAGATAGGAAGTAATAATGATGTTGAATCGTGATGTTATATGGCTACTCGAGTCGATTCGCTACTTTGTTTGTGGTCTGAACTAATCCTTCGATATTTTTCGAAATCGAAATTTTTTATTATTTTTGGACTGGATGAGCCACTGTTGGCCTTAGGGGCCGGCCTTTACAGTTCCGACGGGCTTTAAGTAGCGTGGCGCACGAGGCGCCTAGCCTGAACCTCGTGTTTCGAAAATCAATCAACAAAGGTGTATATTATTCCAGCTCAGATCTCAACATCGTGTTCAAGAAAATACGACAAAAAAAACCGCCATCTATCGCCTCAAAGTCGTACTTATAAAATGTAATTGTACATATTCGATTGCTTATGGAAAATAAAGTTAAAAAAAGTTTCCGTTTTTATAGCAAAGAATTCACACGCCACACTTCTGTTATTTGACGTCGTTACAAACAAAACAAAACAGATCACTAACAAATCAAAAATGTCAGTTCGCACGCGGATCGCCAACGGCCAACTAATAAAATCAAATAACAAAATGTCAATTAAAAAACAAAATAAACTTTTAAAGGCCGAACGAGCCCGACTCAACCCGAGTTCTATTCGAGTTGATGCGAGTAGGATGCAACACCTTACGAACGGCGCGCGCGCGTGTAACGTAACTTTGCATTTCACTCAACTCGAGTTGATGCGAGTTGCAACGCCTAACGAACCGCGCGCGCGAGCCGCGTGTGTAACTCGGATCAACTCGTGAGGCCCCCGCGTCTAACGTCCGGTTTGCGTTCGGACGACCGAGTTGATTCGAGTTGCTTAAAACTGAACTCGAGTTGACTCGTTTAAGGTTTGACTCGAGTTACTCGAATCAAATAACTCGAGTCGCACATCGCTAGTACAGGGCCCTTAAACAGGTTCCTCGCTAAGGAAAGATTACTACACTAAACTGTTGACCGTGGTAGTTTTCTCAGGTGCTACATACTGTAAACGTTACCGTATGCCTATTGTTATAAAATTAACATCACTTGCAAAAAATTATGATAATAATCACTTATTAATTAATAACAATAAAAATGAAACTTATTTTTTTCCTAAAATTCATACTGTCAAAGTGACATACGTGATCTTTACACGTGTAAAACGGAGCACACCTGTTTGACCCGAAACGTCAAAAACAGCAAAACTCTGACGTGTTGGTTTTCATGTTTCACAATCCCGTTTCTTTCGAAAAGCGCACTCAGCATTTATGTTATCAACACATCGATACGATAAGCCGCCGATACGCCGTTCGTCCACGTACACAGTTTACATTAACAGGTAATTAGATTCACATTGCGCTCACGTCACGGAGTTCTACGTCGATACGTGTGTTATTCGAAAGTTTTCGGCGTACTTAAGTTTCGTTCGCGCACAATTCGAACTGTAGATTGATAATTGGTGTTCCCGCGTCATTTCAGCTGACGGAATGATGTATTTAGTGGTTCTCGCTGCGATATTGCAGTGCGCAGTGTCACAACAGTATCAGCAAAAAGTCGCACCTGGGGTACCACCGCAGAACTATCAGGTAACCGAGAAAATACAACACAGCTTAAATATAATCGTGATTGTTTCCTACCTTTCATTCATCATTCTCGTTTTTAGAGTTCCGTATCCAAAGGGTAAAACGGGAACCCTATTACTAAGACAGAAAATTAAAGCAACAGCCTATGTTCCTCTACTGAGCAAACCGTGCATAGATAGATGTTACGAAGTTGACAATGGGTTGACAGTATTACATTGCTAGATAAACTATGATGTTGGTAGATTTCACATCAATTATTCTATTCTAGACCTAGACAAAGGTTTCTTCACAAAAAATAAAAGGTTGCTTGAGTACAATACACTAAAATTGAGCATCTGGGCATGTTGGGACTTACTATCCTCCTCCACACAAAATTATCTGGACACATGCTATCACAGCTAACCAGCATTTACTAGATAAAGAATACATTTTATTAGTATTCTTTTGTGCATACTAACAATATATTTAATTGGTTTTAAATTTATTCTCTAGGTTTTAAACTTTTCTACTTTGAGATATACAGTGATAGATAATGAATGAATAAATAAGGTAATTTAGCTTTTATATTTTAATAGAACTGGTTTATAGATTTTACCATGTTTTACTAGAGTTTTTAACTCAAAATTCTGTAAAAATGAATAGTGTAAACTATTTCGTATGTATGTCTGATAAAATCTGTGAACTAGTTTCATTGAGTATAATAGATTCACATAAATATGAGGACTTCTTAACATCTATATATTTCTTATTAAATACAAATCGCACAACTAGTCTCATACACATGTGTTATAAAAATTAAGCTATTATGCACAGTTACGTTCACATTTTTCTTAATTGGGTAATTTAGAAAATTCATTGTAAATAATTTTTTTGCTATGCCTGTAAACTCAACACAGTTTTTAACATTGCCATAACAATTAACGTCAGGGCAAAAAAATTAATACTGAAATCTTTTTCTTTCTTCTGCCCTTATCCTACCTTTGTTGGGTCACAAAAAATCTTCATCACATTGTTAATGGTATTGGTTACTAAAATGTTATCATTTAATTAATTTCTTTTATTTCCTTAAATGAAATAATATTTACAGAACTATCAGCCGGCTCCACCACCACCGCCGCCACAGCCCATACAAACGCAAGTGAGCAGTTTTTATTTTTAGTTTTATTATTAGTCGTTACAGAATATAATTGAATTACTAAAATATTTGGCAATTTCTTCTAAAACTCAATTTTTGAGGTCTAATGATGTTAATAATGCAGTTTTCAGTAGTGTGAGTGTGTTTGAGTTTGAAAGAAGAGTTAACTAGATGTATTTTATAGATTTTATCATATTTAATTTTTTTTTTATTTACATAATTTTTAAAAATTTTACAATATGTGATATTTATCATATTCTCATGAGTCCTAATTGGCAAACAACGATTAGAAATAAAAATATTATGAATGTATATTAGTGTTCTAAAATCGTCTGATTTAATCATGTGAGTTATAGATCTGACGTTTAAATTCAGATGATGTCATAGTTCAAACAGAAATTAAAAGCGAATTCCTTTCAACTTTGATCGTGAACAAAGTACTTGTACACATGCCTTGTAAAGGCTTCTGTGGTGAGGCTGCACAAAAGCTTTTACATAGTACAGGGAAAATGCCAGTTAAGTTTTACTGAACCAAAGGACATAAATATTATATATATATATATATATATATATATGTATATATTATAATTCCATGTGGCCCAAGTCACGGGAACAGTTAGTAAAAAATAAAAAACACAATGTACTGTTCACTGTTACACCAATATTTACTTTGCTCAACGACTTCCTTCCAGCAACAGCAACAGTACCAGCAGCAGCAGCAGTACCAGCAGCCCCAGCAGCCGCAGCAGCAGCATTACCAGCAGCAGGTGCCGGTGCAGCAGGTGCCTTCACCACAGGGCCACGGCCACCATGGGGGTGAGCTCTCCTCGTCTGTTATTTTGTTCATTTATTCCAATAGTAAAACTTATAGCTATTCATCATCATCACCACCACCATCACCACCACCACCACCACCGATTTTGAATCGGTATCACCACCACCATGGTAATTTTGAAAACCACCATCACCACCACCACCCACCACCGAAAGGTGAGCGCCCGACACTGAGCTATCACGGTTTTTTATGTCTTTGTAAAATGCCCCTGTTGTATTTGGTTGCAGATCCCCAACTGCTGAATCCAGCTAACATTGCTCAGGAAAGGGAGTAAGTCATAATTTTATTAATTTGGACTAATCCGGAATGGTGCAAGAATCTGTTTTTAATGTGAAAAGTTGCCAAACGAGCAGACGGTTCACCTGATGGTAAGTGAATACGGCCGCCCATGGCCATCTACTACACCCGAGGGTTACAGATGCGTTAACAACCTTTTTTAAAGTTGGGCTCCGGCTACCTCACTCACCAAACCAAACGCGAAAGTATTTGTCGTACTTCCACTTTACGCTGGTCTTCTGTGAGGTCGTGGTACTTACACGGACGGGCCTGCCCATTCGTGCAACAGGCTGCTGCGTGGCCCTACCACCGTAAATGATTCAATACTAGATCATTTGCCTACACCATTTGCCCCACTTCTCCATGCCAAGAAAACACTGTGCTTATGGAAGTAGTTGTTTTTTTACAACTTAATAAATAATTTTACATTAAATGAAGAAATCTTTAAAAATGAAAATTTTTAGATATAAGAGGCCAAGTGTCTAAGAAATAAAACTTACAGACCTCTTAATAAGTATACCTGAATAAAATTATTTGTGTAAATATTGATTATTTATGAGCAAATTTCTAGTAAAAAGCCTTAACAGGGAAGTAACATCCTAATAGGGGTATGCCACCACACAGTATGCTGGAAAGGATATAACAACGGATGCGCCAAGTATTGCTTCAAATGCTAAAACAATGTACATAAAGGACGTTAAGATTTTAGTTGGTGTGGCAATCAGCCGTTTAGCTTAGTGATACCGAAGACATGGGTTCGATTCCCTACAAATTTTATTTTTCTACACATTTTAATGTTTAACCTTACGCAGAGACTAGCACTACAAAAATTTGATTCCCAATAATAGCATAAACTCGAAAGGATTTAATGCCAGTTGCAAGTATTAAGGATTTAATGCCCTAGTTGTGATTTTATTACCAAAAAGCTCAGTTACCTCTCACCCCGAATGTAACTCCGCAGCCACATCCAGGAGCACATGGACGTGCCAATCGACACCTCCAAGATGTCTGAGCAAGAACTGCAGTTCCACTACTTCAAGATGCACGATGCTGACAACAACGATAAACTGGACGGCTGCGAACTCATCAAATCACTCATTCATTGGCACGGTGAGTATCCAATACTTGAGACACTAAAGCTCCTTTGAACTAGTGTTCTGGTGTTGTCACCACACATAACACACACTCAAAAGACCTTAACACTTTGTGTTACTTGCTATATGTATATTAGTTATCTTAAAAACCTGTTGTATTGGATGTCTTAAATAATTTCATACACTGTACCTGCAAGTCCAAAAATATTTATTAGTTAAATATTTTTTAATGTAGAAACAATTTTGAACAGACCATAAACACTTTGTAAATATTTGCTATATATTTTGTTTTATAGAATCACACCAAAGTACACAAAAACACTTTAATCTGTCCTGAAAAACTTTTGATCACCATACTACATATGCATCAACACCTAAAACCTCTCTGAAATATCTTTTAAAACTACACTTAAAGTATTTGAACTGGCATACTACAATTTAAAAAACTTATACTTTCTAATTCTTGCTAGTTTTTGTAACTGTTAATACTGCTGTGTTTTTAACTCTATATGTCACATAACTCATTTACACAAAAGTAATTTTTTTGTTGAGGCATTTTCTGATATTGCGTGCATATTTTGTTAGGCATTTATAAATTATTTTCGACAAACATTTCAACAATGATATAATTTATTAATACATTATGGGAATAACACTACATTGTTAAAAAAATGGCCGATAAACACACCAAACATAATTTATACTTATTCTAGTGTCTCACAGTATTTTTGTTTTGCATTTTCTCATTGACATGATTGTACCATTTTTTTGTCTGTTTTAGAAGGGTTAATGTTTTGGGGGATCTGTTTGGAATTTAAAAAAAAAAAGGGTTTACCGCCATTTTTTTGGGCGAATCATTTGTGGGGTGTTGCATTTAATTCGTTTAAGGGAAAATGCATAAGTTTTTTTAAGGAAATATTTTGTGCGACGTTTGTTTTATATTATAGATATTCATATTTAAATCAAATTCTATACTTACAATCTGAGGCCTTTTTGTAATATAAAAGACATTCTTCCATTATTTGACATTATCAATTACTTAATATTTTATTAGGTTCCAAATTTAGTCGCATAAAATACTTCCTAGCATTTATTGTACGTCATTCGGGCTTGCGCAGATAATAAATTGCCATAAATTCTTCCCAGCATAACACATCTTAGTAAGTAATAAGGCATTTTTGTCTCTTTATTTCAAGGTTGAAATAAAGTTTCTCCCACTTTCACTTCTAATCCCCCAGTTGTGTAAGACTACCATGCTACCATTGCGTAAAACGCACTGTCTTTTATTATGACCCTATTCTATTTAACTATTGGATAAAATATGCGAAAGATTTACCTCTTTTACGACCCTGCTTAACGGCAGATTTCTTTGGCTTACCTAGAAAGTATCCTTCAATGCCGATCAATTGGATCCCTTCTTCCTTCATTACCCACAGCCGATTTTCGGTTCGATTCTATCAAAATAACCTACTTCTCCCCCCATTGTCTATGCACAAAAACCTTCCCACTCTTTCCCCCCATTCTCTATGCACAAAAACCTTCCCACTCTTTCTCCCCTCATTGTCTATGTACAAAAATCTTCCCACTCTTTCCCCTCATTTTCTATGCACAATTACCTTCCCACTCTTTCTCCCCTCATTGTCTTTGTACAAAAACCTTCCCACTCTTTCCCCCCTCATTGTTTATGCACAAAAATCTTCCCACTCTTTCCCCCCTACTGCCATCGAAGAACGGGCGATCTATTGTCTGCGCACGTCCCGCGCTAGAAGGCGCTCACCAATCACGCGCCGCCTCTTTCTATGTGCCGCCACCATCACGCTTGTCCGCGCAGAGCAAGGGCACAAGCAGCAGCCCGCGCCCGGCGCGCCGCCCGTCGGCGAGAAGATATTCAACGACGACGAACTCACCAATCTCATCGATCCCATCCTCAACATGGACGACCACAACCGCGACGGCTACATAGACTATCCCGAGTTCGTGCGAGCGCAACAGAAAAGCCAGAAGCAAGATGGCAACTAGTTATATAGTTGACACTGCTCGCAACATTCCGTCACTCCGGTTTACAACATCGGTCTACCGTTTAGTAATAACTGTCAACAGATTATACAAATAACACTCTGAGTTGGTATGGCAACACTTTTCAGATGGAATTATCACAGCGTTTATCAGTGTAGTTTTATTGTAATTTTTTGGTATCGCACGGAAACTCTCCCATTTTGGTATGACAAAACTTTTTAGCCGTGGCAACACCCGTTGATTGCGTATGCGGCAACACTAAAAGTAACGTTTGGGAACCGACGTCAGTCCTCTATTTGTTTTTGTTGTTATCTTCCTCTTTTTCTTCATATATCGTTTTTATTGGGACTGTTTAATATATCGTCGGCCCTAAACTTAAACTCCCATCGGTACTTTTTTCTACATATTTTAAACTCCCATCGGTACGTTTGGCAATACTCGTCTTATGATGATACGAACCCTTGGTACGTTGCTAACTGCTGCCATCTCTAACGTAAACTTATGTAAATATATTAGTGTCGTGCTCAAATAAGTGCTTCCAGCGTATATTTTATAAGCGTAGAGATTTCGAGAACGTTCCACGAATTTAATTAACTTTATTTCGTAACTTGATTTACATTTATTTAAGTTAGGATGTGTTTATATTTTAAAGTTCAAAAATTATTCACACTGTCCGTTGTGAGTGCTCTTTCTCGATACTGTAAACGTTGTTATAGCTGATATTTTGCCTAAAATTCATACGAGATTCCACTATGCGGGTACAGCCGTCTCGCTTCTTTCTCTTGTGTGTAAAAGACAGGAAACATTTATCTACATTCGGGGAATAATCCGAATACCCAAGGATTAAAATTTTAATATTTCTACGCTTTAACTCGAATATTCTTTGCAGATTGTTTTATTATCTGTGTCGGTTTATTTTTCTATTCTTTTCTATAATTGTCTGTCTCACTTTCTCCGATCCCGATGTCAAGAACTTTGAGATATGACACGCGATTTGAGATATGTGTCAGTGTCTGTGCAGTTTTCCTTAAAAGTATGCGCGCGCGATCGTGTTTGTGTTTTTATTAAACGTGTATATAAATTAGCGAAATACATAATACGAAATTCTTACTATATCGTCAAAGAGCAAAGAGGCGTCTTTACTCCAAAATTCTTTATTAAAATACGATAGCCGTCATACAATTTTCCACCGAATTGTCAATTGTATGTGTCAATTTATTAACAATTGGCGGGAAAATGATACCACAGACAACGCACGAATTTAAGAGAAAACTCTGAAAAAACTGACATTTTGTATACTTTTTTTTACAATTGTTATGAAAATAAAATGAGCGTATATTTATATAGAATGTGTTAGAATTAACCGGAAAAAGTAATCTTGTAATGAAATTAGCGCGAACAAATGGTTAGTAATAATACTTATCGATTTTTATCAAAAGTACTCCATAGTTCTTTAAGATATCTCTTTATACATACAATGAAGTTATTCCATTTTTATTTGCATAGTCTATCGTATTAATTTAATCTAAGAATTTGTGATGGGGACTTTTATTTTTTGTGACAAATTTATCTGTACTAAAATTGTATCTGTATATTTAGCGAAGTTTCTCGATTGTCTATGCTTTTGTCGTTATTGGTTCCGGAGCGGTTCGCCGGAGAATCTCCGTTGAAGTTCGGGATTGGATTTCTCTGATCTTCTTTCTGCTCATTCCTCCACTGTTTTATGTGATATGTATTTATTTCTTTCACTGAGAATGTGTTCGCGAACGCAATACGCACATGTGATGTGTGCGCGATGTAAAAAGTTAATAAAAATGAATTTTGTTTTGAATGGTTCTTCGTTATTCACCCGAAACCTACGAACCAAAAGAAGGGGTCGCTTTTCTATACTTTCAACTCGTTTACTAATTTAAATTAGGCGTTAGTTTTCATATATATCTGTATTTAGACCAATCAAAATGTATACGGTTGCGGATACCTGTTTTTTTTTAATTTGCAACGAAAAATCGGGTAAGTACTCGCATGCAATGGTTTTAATACAAAACTTTTTTTAAATACAATTACGCCTGTGCGAGAAAAATATAAACGATTACGAAGTTAATGGACGCTTGTGTGGAGTGTTTTCGGATTGCTTTTTTTTGTTTCGAGTTTTTTACTAATCCACGATTGACATTATCGATGCGTGAAAATGAGATGTTGATTTCGATTAATCCACTCGAACTAACCGATCGAGCAATTGTCGGCGTGGAAAAGGCGATGAAAGTGTAACGTAACGCAAACGCGTAAGAAGCGCCCCGTTATGTCAACCCCTTCCCTTGTGTCTATCATGACCATGTCAAGGTGTGAGTGAGAAGGTCTCTTGATGGAAAGTGAGCTCCACCGTTGCAAACCAGACCATTGCAGACGCGTCTACCGCCTGAACGTAGCAGGCGTGATTTCGCCACCGAGCTTATGTTGGCTGTAATACTTTTTTTTTAAATACGTTGCCATTACTATATGATAATATTATCCTGTGTTGTAATGACGTTTTACAAACATAAATTTCACGCGGACAAATACCCAGATGCGGACAACTATCTGTGGGTCACACAAATAGTTGTCCCGTGTGGGAATCGAACCCACGACCCCCGACGCCGAAGCCAATACCTTGGCAACTGCGCCACGGAGTCATCAAAACGTTACGTCGGTCAATACGAAATAAATATCGTAAAAAGTACGTAAAGAAATCATTGTTTGTACAAAATCTTGTATCCTTGTAATGAGTATCTAATAATTCACTGAAACTGCAACGTCGCCAACAGTACATATTATAGTCTATAAATACAGTTAACGCAATACGATAGTTTTGTTTTGTCGACATAATTATATATCAAAATTATAATCTATAGCGCCATCTTTTATTTATATACTAAGACTAGACACCATCTGGCGCAAGAAACGGGTACTGTATCAACGTCAATCGACAACTTATGTTTATCTGTGGTCATCATACAAGGACGAAACTGTTGTTCGAATATTTGTGGGCCATCTTCCAGAGGAGCATTCTGGTTCCGACGCGAAGTTGACCGACCAGGGTCTGGCTTCCGTGGTGGATGCAGTCCTGGATCAGATGGACGCAGACCGCGACGGCACCGTCACTTACGTCGAGTATAGGGCCACCGATGGATACGTGACCTTAAACAGTTAAAATCGAGACTATGATCACTTCTTTTTTTTTAAACATTGTCCTTACTTTAATGTGTAGTATCATATTATCCCGTGTCGTAAGGACGTTTGACTTAAATGAATTTCACATGGTCAAACACCCAGTCCTGAAAGAAATGTCTGTGGGTGACATAAATAGTCGTCTTGGGTATCGAAGCCACGACCCTCGGCGCCGAAGCCAATACCTTGGCAACTGCCCCTCAGAGCCATGAAGTCACCTGATTTCTGATATTATAGTACTGCGTAAGGATCGTATTATCGCGATTGCAGGCAAAGGCTTACGAGCTACTTATTGTCATAAGAAGCCTTGATAACCCAATGTTAACCTATCATTGCTTAACAATCGATGACATTATATACAAAGATAAATATGACAATAGCGCACCGAAATTCAGACACTCAAATTACACCAATTGGTGTAATTAGATTGCAATTCTATAGACTGCTATCTCTTTCATATCCACACGTTCTATATCATCTGTCACATTCACTTACGTCATAAAATAAAATCGGAACAATTTTTAAACGCCGCGCAGTATGGAGATGCGTCATCTATTCATTAAACATCATTGTGTTCATATTCTTTTTTTAATTCAGTGTTGTAATTTCGCACAAAAGCTTTTTGTGAAAAGTTTTCATTCCGTCTCGCAGCTTAATCGTCCAAATCTGTGTAAGTGATGACTGGTGCACGTCAATCTGTTTTGCTTTAGTTTTTATTTGTATCTGTTATGAAATGTTTGTGATGTCATTTACACGTAAAAATATTATCGAAACAACTACGGGCACGACGTTATCACTCATCTCAACATTTGACTTGTGTTTGCGCGCGAAAAATTAAAAAAGCTGTCACTATATCACAGAAGAAAAAAAAATTAATTCGAGTGCTTGTCATTTGTTCAGTCTGTGCTGGCAACCCCTTATTGATGTAAGGGTACGTACAGACTGTTCCAAATAGTGTCGTAACTTGAAACCCACGTGAATCTGGGGTAAGTGCTAATTTGTTATGTTTACGTTACGCTTTCAATACCAATTTATAATAAGTGCGAATGGTTTTATTGATGCGTGTATGATCCTTCCTTATGCACCAATTACAATACCGAAACAGATCAGAGTGAGATTTGAAATGAACACTTCAAATCTTATATGACCGATCAAATTAGGATATGACTATATCCTATGTGTGTATCAATTAATTTCATCTAATGGATATTTGCGCTCTGAGTGAACGCTTCTAGACTTAGTAAGCATTATTTTATTTTCATTCCGTCAAAACTGGCCACTTTCAGGGCAAGTGGACAAAAACCACGCAGTCTACACGGATGACCAATTGGAAGCTCTCATGGACCACGCTTTAAAACACACGGACATAAACAAAGACGGCTATGTCGACTACTTGGAATACAGAGTGAGCAACTACAAAGGAAGTGTTGCGAAAAACAAATAAAATAAACCTTTTTGAATTTATTATCTGTAATCAACGTTGTATCAGCAAGATTGCTTTTCATTTTTCTTTTTGATTTACAGTAGGTTTGATTGGGAACTGGATTTTTGATATTAATTTGGGTAAAAACTGTACTGCGTCTTAACTCACGTCCATTTTTTATAAATAAGAAAATTATTTTATTGTGGGGAGATGACTACAGTAAGGGGTGTTCTCGTAGTGTAATTAATAAAAGTTCTTTTAGTTAATAACTATTGGAAAAGTTTTGACATCGAAATAATGAAAACCAAGAAATAATTTTAAACTCGCAAAAATAAAATATTAATATTCAGAATCAGAACTATCTGTATTTGCATAAACTAAGTTTTTCTTTACATATCTAACGCCCGGTTTCTGAAACACTAAGAACTAAATTTTAATAAGAATTATATTTAAATTAAAACTAAGAATTATACTTTAATTTTGCATTGCAATAATGGCAAAACCCAGAAGGCTTTCTTAGCATACTGAGTAGCTAGCTTGTCAGATGTACTCAAAGATATATGGATCTATGGTTTCACTGCCTAGATACGCAAGGACACTCGGACATATACTTCACACTCCTTTTTCTATGAGGAGTTGCAAGCACAATTCATCGTTAAAGAGTGTATTTTCTAGAATATGAACATTCAACAGATTCCTCAGATTTTCTGACCTTTATCCATTTTCTAATCTATTATACACCCCAATTAATCTTTCTCTTCAATATTGGTGAAATAGCTAGTGGTTTCAGGTGTTCATTAAATCGTTAAATGTCCTTCAATGCATTCTTCATCCGAAAGACTTAATATAAATTAGGGCTATATAAAAATTAGAAAACACGTGAAGTGAGAACTGTCCCTTCTGACAGAAAATGTAATCTTTGGTATCGAATCGATGACGAAATTAACGAATAGACAAACATTTTGAAGAGAACGGTTGAGGTGGGTTTTATGAAAAAAAATGTCGAATAATATTATTATATCGTTTACATTTTTCAAATCAAACTTTATAGTTGTAGTGAAAGTCTGCAAACGAAATGCTTAGTGTTGCGGAAAAAAGGTTCACTTTAAAAGTTCTCGTACAGTTTAAAACAATAAAATGTGTTCTTCATTAAAATAAATAATTTAAAATTAATCACTTTTTTTTACCAACAACGAATATATATTTTTATTTTGTCAAAATCAATTGGTAAGTATACTTTTAAGAGTCTCTAGTGTTTGCTGTAATATTTAGTAATTATGTTCGATTTTTTTCTTTTCATCCCTAGATAGCAGGAGGTCCGTCTGTCCATTGAGAACTGACAGTAGCCGATAGATGGCGGGTATACTAAATATAAATGTTTACGTATTTCCACCGTTAGATGGCGGTATTTGGGTGGGATTAATATCTAGGACCCCGTCAAATCTTTTTCTTTTATTTTTCGATTTTTATTTTTACATGCTTTAAGTACGTCGTTTGTTCTTGATTGCTTTTTTTTAAATTGACCTCACTCCCCCCAATTGTAATTTTTTTTCTTATAGTCTTATATATACGTTAGTTAAATCTATCGGTAAAGTGTCTATTATTGTTTTAATTGAAAACTTCCGTTTTTAATTTTTATAGTGAAAATCCTTGCACATAAAGCGTTAACGTGTCTTCCGGAAAGTCATGTTTTGTATATACATTGGTAAGTTCTCTCATATTATATTCAAATTAATTCACTTTGATCCATTCGAGTAATTGACATAGCAAATATTTAATTTGGATTTGAGTGAAGAGTAACACCAATGCAACTATGCTACGAGTATGTAAGAATAGAATATTACGAATAAATATGATATATTAAAATAGATAGAGCATAGGTAAATTTTATTTTATGTCCATTAATTATAACATACTATTTTAAAATATGAATTATTTAATACTGATTAAATCTATCTAAAATTACATATTATCCAATAAACCTAATCCAACGGCATGGTGCCAAGAACGCTAGCTGCATTTCCTCGCTGAATGTTATGCTTAACCTTTGAGCGAGAAAAGAACCAGCTCTCTTGTCACCAGCCGCGGCGTTAAGCCTAGGACATAAACTTTTAAAAAAATTTGATGTGCGGGGACCCCACGGACCTAAAGTTTCAACAGCAAATGGCACAAATACATAATCTAAACATAAAGACTCATATTTGCGCCATTTACTTACTTCAGTTGCCTCCGATGCCGCCTTAATAATCTTGGCTCAATCTTGTAAAAATTAGATCAATAAAAATTGTAAATTCTTTAATACTCATGGAAGAATTGTAAATACTACTAAATTTAATGCTGTAGTGAATAATTTGCAATGCGAAAAAAGGATAATCCAATAAACCGATATATGCACTTGTTCATCTATTAATAGTATAAAGCTGCTTACATCTAAGCCAGGCGACGATTTTCACTAACGAGTGATTAATAGGTTTATACGTGATTTCATAAAACCTCAAATTATCGCTAGATCCGCATCCAGCCACTGCAGGACATAGGCCTTCCGCCTTTCTCTTCAAAGCTCTTTGCCCTACCAGTGAGTCATAAACTAATAAATCCATACTAAGATAATAAATGCGAAAGTAACTCTATTGAACCGATTACAATGTTGGTACACAGATAGTCCAGAGCCTGAGAAAGGACATAGGCTAGCTTTTAATTTGAAAAAGTGTTGTAAAGAGTTGAAAAGGGGGAAGAAAAGTTATAGGAAAGTATTGTCATTTTCAGAACAAGAAGCATAAAAAAATTAAGGCTTGTTGATTAGATATAAATAAATATGGCATTCAAAGTTTTTAATAATGTTACCACGCGGATGAAGTCGCGGGGACAGCTAGTAAAAAATAAAAATTATCGTATTGTAAATTGTAATAGAGTTTAAACAACGAAATAAAAATAGTATATGCAGGCTTCCAAAACGGTATTTATAATATGTGAATAATAATTTACAACGATAAATAAAATTTGTAAGTTGTGCTTCCGTGGCATCTTTGTGTCATTGTGATATGTAAGTATTCTGGTTTTAATGTTATTTAAACAAAACTTCGTCGCATGATTTTTTTTCTGAATAATCTTTAATTAACTGCGGTGGTGCCACGCAACAGTCATCGCTGTTACACGAATGGGCAGCTCCGTCCGGGTAAGCAGCAGGATCTCACAGCCCGGCGTGAAGAGGAAGTGTTACACTTCTGCGTTTCGTCTGGTGAGTGAGGTAGCCGGGGCCCACTTTATTAAAAGGTGGCAACACATCTGCAACCCCGTACTGTTGCGAATGTCCATTAGCGGCGGTTATCACTTAACATCAGGTGAACCGCCAGCACTTAAAAAAGAAGCGTATTATCGCTCGCTCTCAAGAAAGCCTCAAGGGCGCATTGATTTGGTTCGAATCGCACGCATAGTTTTGTAGTTTTAGAGTAGTTTTAAATTGATAGAAAAAATATAAAGGCCATAAATTTTTATTTTAACCTCTATAGGTTGCCTGGAAGAAATTACTGTTAGTAATATGGCCGCCTATTGTAGCCATCACATCTAGATTAAGTTTTTGATTTTTTTTGTTGGTGTGCAATAAAGTATGTTCATTCATTCAAAATTTAATTTATTTCCTAGCATTATCAGTTATTACTATGTTTGTTGTTATCCTAGTGTGAAAATGCTGTTTTTGATACAAACAGCTCCTGGAAGGCGTAAACATTTAGATATAATTGGGCCATGTTTTTGGCTTCTTAAAAAGTTTTTATTATTATTTTCCACCTGGTTATCCCCCTTTTTTATTGGAATAACTTGTTGTATGTCAATATTTAATTAATATTTTATAAATAAATTTGAATACAAACAATTATTATAAAAAATTTATAAAAAGCAATCGAGAACGAACGACGAATTAATGGTAACTATGTGAAAAAAATGCAAAAATTAGAAACAAATATTATGGGCTGAAAGGAGCTCGATGTTCGAGTAAATATTTAAGCTTTTAAGAACACAGAACTGAAAACTGTTATTTGTCGACGATTTTTACTATATTTAGAACATCAAACTTTTTAGAAAAACCAAATCATGGTGCACGTCATTTTAGTCAATATATAATGATGTTTGCATAGGACTACGTTTGTAACCAGTGAATTGTTTTTTTTTTTTGTGATAAAAATTTCGGCGCTGCCGTATTCTGTCGGTTTTCGGTTTTCGCGCGTTTATAATCTGTTACTAATAGGAAAAACGTTCCTTTTGACGTTGAAATTTTTTTTGAGTAAATTGTGCGACTGCGTTAATGCTACGTGATATTTTTTTTTATTTCACAGATGGCCACGGCAATAAAGTCGAAACGACCACGGTGTATAAAGACGACGACCTGGAGATGGTTGTGAATGGAGCCTTGGATCAGGCGGACCTAAACAAGGACGGTTTCATCGAATATTACGAGTACAAATCCGCCTATCATTAATACAGAAAGTTCTTTAGGGCTCGGGAAGATCTAATAGAACCAATGATAATGGCTTAAAAAACTCCGTCTTACAAATGAAACAAACTCGGAATGTATAAAAAAGAAAAGTGCAAGGTTAAACTTTTTGAATAAAACTGAAACGAAGTACTATTTAATATATATTATACCAAGATATATTCTTATTACGCCGATTGATATTAAGAACTAAAGTAGGTATTTTTTCTTAACACCAAAAAATTATTGACCAATATATCAATTTAACTACAAGAGTTACAGATACATTTCCATTAAAAAATCGATAATACTCTATGTTACATGCTGTTGTAGAATTTAATAACTTTATTTCTAGTCAAATTTGAAAATAAATAAATCATCTCAAAACAAAAATATGTGTTTTTATTATTTCTAAGCCTTACTAAAAGACTTTACATATATCAAAAACAAATATGTTATACTTTAAATGAAAGGTCTATTTTTATTAACAAACAAAAAATATGTAAAATGGTTCTCTTAGTCTTTGTGTATTTGCAAAATTAAGTAAGTTTTTCTTTACATGCCTAGCATTTCTATTGCACTGAATTTGTTAAAAAAGTTCTCAATTGTACCCGAATCCTTGGATTTGAGCTTATGACGCATGATGTGGGAAAATATGCCGGCTGCGTGACTCCACAAAAAAATTGAAGAGAACAGCTGCTGAGGTAGGTTTTATGAAACATTTCGACTTTGTCAAATTGCAAAGTCTATTTCGTTTTTCTTTTCCAAATTAAACTTTATATTAGCAGTCGCAGTCTGCAAACGAAATCTTTTTGATTATACAATACCTTAAAAAATTTCATTCACTTTAAAAACTTAAAGTTGTGCTCATCATTAAAATAATAAAATCAATTAAAATTAATAAGTTTTATCTTTTACCCATAATTAATGGTGGTTTTTGTTTTGTTATAACAAATGAAAAATTATTTGGTGAGTATCTTTTTAAGAGACACTTCAGTGATGTATTGTATATTAATTATGTTTGAACTGTTTATTTTCATGTCTAAAAATTGGGTCACTCCCACAGACTGCCACAAAGCATGGTCCAGAGTAACCTACATCCGTCGACTTTTCGCACAGTTACACAGGGCGTCACTCCATCTAGCGGGGGGTGGTCCTACAATGCGACCGCGTTACTACGTGTAACTGTTTTATTTCACAGATGACCACGGCAAGACAGTCGAAACGACCATCATGTTCAAAGACGAGGACCTAGAGGAGATTGTGAATGGCGCGCTGGCGCAGGCAGACATCAATGAAGACGGTTTCATAGATTACTATGAGTACAAATCCGTCACTTAATCGAGATAATTCTTTCATAATGGGGCTAGGGAAGGTCTCATGAGGACGATGGTTTCAAAAACTCGGTCCCATTAGTAAAATAAACTTCGAATGTATAGATAAGATAGAAGAAAAAGCAAAGCAAAGTAAAACTGATTGATAAGCAAAATAAAACTGATTGGATTTAATCTGTATTGATTCTCATTGATAATAACAATTGAATTACTTTCTTAACATCAATTTTTTTCATTCAAAAAACCCTCAATATTACTCTATTATTCAGCTTTAATATTAATCTACAGTAGGCTGTTAAAGGAATTAATAACTATTGAATTCTAGTCAACTTTGGAAATAAATACGTCATCTTAAAACAAACACACATTTATTTCTAGGCCTTTAGAGTAGTCATCATAACGACTACAACATTATACAGATCTATATTTATCAAAAATATTTAATATATTTTTGAATGAAACTTAAATATTAATACAAATAAACTGGCGTCATGTTATTTACATACATAAACTAAGTATATATATAAAACACCTCTAAGCACACCGTGTAAATTTTATGACATTTCATTTCTCTAAAAAAAAAAATACTATAAAATAAGTTTAACATAAATCAAAAGTGGGAGTATAAAAAGTAATAATATCCTATTTACCGCATTTGATTGTGATCTAGTACCAGCCTATACATGTCCCACTGCTGGGCAAAGGCCTCCTCTATACAGAGGGTATCAGGGCATAGTCCACCACGCGGCCCCACTGCGGATTTTCGAAATATATATTTTTTTGTTATTATTTCGAAAATATGCAGGTTTCTTCACGATGTTTTCCTCACCGCACGTGATAATTATATGTGGTCTAAGTTACCAAATTGTCTATTGATATTAAATAATACACAATTAAATAGTATTAATGAAATTTCTCAATTTCATTTAAAATTTTCTCGGGCCTTTGTCCTTTTCCAATTCGGACAAAAAAAATTATTCTCTCTCCGCAACTAATTAAAAATGAAAGTCACTTATAAGAGCGACTGAAGTATTGTATAAGATATTTGTAAAATTATTTTAAGAGAAAAAAAATAACAAAACAAAACAAAAAAATAAAAGGAACATACAAAGTAACCTACAGCTTATATATCGCTTGTGCCTATTCTATTTATGTAGTAGTAAAATTAATGCATTTAATAAAATTCTTCTATTTATTCTAATCTTATTTTAATGTAAAAATACTTGTCACAGCTCATATAAAATTCGCTCAGTTATAATTTTCTGAAGATAAAAACAAAAGAAAACTAATCTTTTGTAATTTGCGAGGGATAAAGGTGTAGTAAATATAGAAATTTTTTGAAATTTTTCATTTTTGATTTGACTATGATATTACTGCGAAGAAAACCCAGTTATCAGTTTCTACTAAAACAAATATAAACAATGTTATTATCTATAACTTATACCTATAATTTTCTAAAAAAAGTTTTGACTGTGATGCATCAAAACAAATATTTATTAATAAAACATGTTACTTTTATTTAGTTTTAAGTACTACTCACCACTAGATGGCGTGAAACAACATTGTAACGAGACAAATAACGATTTTTTGAAAATCACAGCCGTAGAACGTATATAAAAACATGTTCAAACGAGAGCTTACGAATGCAATTTGTGCAACTGCTTTGAAAGTGACGAATGTTCTTTATATCGTAACGAACATTTTCCATATTGTAAGCAACAATTATATACTACATTGACATTGACATACAAATATGGATCTCGGATATGAAGTTCCGTATTTTTCAAACAAAAAATGTACGTAACACAATGTGGTACTTTATTTCGTAATGTCACTGTTAAAACATGTAGAAAAAGTACGAAAAGATTGTCGCCGCTGTGGGAATCGAACCCACGTCTTCGGCCGATCGTTTTAATGTTCAATCTTAAGTGCAGAGATTAGCACTATAAAAAACTTTAAAATGTCCCTGTTTTTTATTAATGTCAATGTCCCGCGTATCATCGTATATTTAACAAACTAAAACGAGAAGTATGAATCAACAAGTGAAATTGTGTTCGTTTTCCCTCTAAACGTAATGACGTCACCAGTCGAGTGGGTTCTGCATTGCCTGCCTTAGTGGGATGCTCTTCTCGCTGTAGAACTGCATGAACCAGGATCTGAAGGCGCGTATCGTCCTATCCGTCTTCACGTAAGTAGGCGAGTGGACGTACCGCTTGCTGTTCCATATCGCCACGTCGCGTTTCAGCTGAAATCGCGAAGCGGAATTGTGTCACCCGCTCAAGGATCAGTAAGTAAGGGTCAGCTCAAGTAAAACATTTATTTATATTTAAAATTAGTTACCTAACTAAAAAAAGCTTACATTGCACGGTAAGCCTTCTGTGCAATGTGCGCCAAGTTAAACACTTGTTATTAAAAAATATATCACCACATTAATTCGCTGAATCTGAATCACAAATCCCATCAAAATACAAGACTACACTAATATAATATTTTATACTATTTTACCAGTATTCAATTTTATTTCATATTTGTCCATTGTCCCAACCTATCCAATTTATAAGAAATAAAACATTGTTATTGTGTGTACAGAAATGTTTCCCTATTTTTGATAGAATTGATATCACACCGATGCACTTCTGAAGCCAAATGTCAAACTGGCGATATTGGAGGGTCAGATAAAGCGTCTTTGGTTGGTTAACTGACCTGATACGCTTCGCCGAGCACCATCCAAGCTCCTAGAGGGGCGTTAAGCGTCGGAGAGTAGATCCTGTTGACGACCTTTTGCAAAAGCGCGCTTAACGGAGTCACCGACTGCGAGACAAGGATGGGTCCGAGCGGGGAGTTGAAGCGCAGTCGCACGTGGCTCGGGCCGATCTATATAAGTTATGTTTGCCATGTTAAAGGTAAATAACATGAGTATTAAATATAGAGAAAATTAACCTAAAATTTTTACCTGGAATGCTCAATTAACATTATGTAAAAGTATGTACTTCGTCTAAAAAAATCACCATGTATATACGTTTATTCATAACTGATATACTATTGGCTATGCCCAGTCATATGTGGCCACTAATTTGTTCAAGTTGTTCGCTTATTTAATTTAGTACTTCTTACAAAACTGTCAAGATGGTAATCGTATCAATGCTATACTTGAAGTTTCTTTTTATTTAGTTTACGATTTATTTCTATTCTACCCTGTTACCCTACCACTCCATTTAAGTGCTTTGACAGACTATATGTATAACGTCTTGCATTGTTTGGCCACAAATTTAACTCTTCATTTTGCGTTACCTCGATAGACTTTTTTTTAATCCGTTTGTTTTGGGGTTTTTATCCTTTTTGGATATGTCAACCCCATTGTGACCATCTATAATATACATTAGAAAACCTCGGTAGACTTACCTGCATGACCGTGACTTTCATAGTGAAGGTGTTGAACTTCATGATGACGTATTTATGGACGATGTCAACAGTCGCGATGTGGTCCTCCTCGCCCTTAGACCATTCAGCAGACCAGATGTGCCGACCTGCGCAGTGTGATAGAAGTGAGGGTAGTAAGAATATTTGAGAATATTTGGAATTATAATACAGCAAAGCCAATCATTTGCATTTTTAATTTAAATACTTTTAAGAAACTATTTAGCACATATCTGGTTTCCAGCCTTCTAAGAGTCGCTAGTTACTTCCTCACTATACAATAGCTTTGTCAATAATAGTATATAAATACTCATACGGTCTTCAGTTGTGTGGTCGATGTATGGATGAAGAGAGGTTACCATCGTAGAAGACAAGATTTGTTTTTAAGTGAAAAGTTGGCAAGCGAGCAGGCGGTTCACCTGATATTAAGTGATTAGCGCCACGGGTGGACATCTAATAGCACCTGATGGGTTGCAGGAACGTTGCCGACGATTTACAAAGTGCGCCCTGGTCAACGCATCTGCAACCCTCGGGTGTAGTAGATGTCCATGGGCGGCGGTATTCACTTAACATCAGGTGAACCGTCTGCTCGCTTGGCAACATTTCACATTAAAAAAATACAATAAAACGGACGAAAACTTTTTCGCCGCTGCGGGAATCGAACCCGTATCTCTCGGATATGCGTCCCGACGCTTTTAACCACTTCTTCTTCTTCTTAATCGGACACTCTTGGCAGAGTGGTCGTGGCTGTCGATGGACAGGATTGCGTCTCGTCGTCGCTGTTCGCTTCCGCGGCTGTTAGCCATGCGAGCACATTGTACTGTGGTGGTGATGAGGTCAATCCAGCGCGTAGAGGCTCGACCTCGAGGTCTTTTGCCTTCTACACGGCCTTGAATGACAAGTCTCTCCATAGAATTTTAACCACTAAGCCGACGTAAATCTCAACGTATTTTATTTTCGCATTCAAAGCAACGCTTGACGCGTCTATCTGTGTATGTTTTATGCTTCATTGATCACCACATGAACATAAAAAAGTTACAAAAAGAAAAACTTATGAGGTGGATGCAATAAGGCGGTCTTATAACTAAAGAGTACTACTTTGGACAATGGCAGGTGATGCAAATGATGAACTTACATACTAACACTTAAGTAAACTGAATACTACAACTAGATCTATTGTAGTGGAGCTGTTATCGATATGACTGCGAAACGGGCTTACCTATGATGTTGTGCAAGAACGGGAACTTATCCCCGATGTCGGTCAGAAGCGACGTGGAATGGATGGCGTTTAGGTGGGCGATGTCCGCGCCGTTCTCCGGGATCTCCTGGAATAAGAAAAGTGGCCAGCTAAGACCAGTGAAGGTCAATGTCAAGGTCACCCATAGCACAGGCTCAATCAACCAATGTAAAATTGCTGCATCAACTTTTTTACATGATATCTCGTATCCTTTAAACGAGCAATTCTTGTATATACAGCGTGTCGTTACCACCGCGACAATAAATGAACACACATATAGAGGATAACTTTTTAAAATTGTATTAAACATTTACATTCTTTAAACATCAATATTTACCGAGTTATAAAACTTTCCAAAACAAACAATTTTAGAACACCCTTACGTATAAAACTGTAACGTAAAGTTCATTTGTAAAGGTCACAAAGCATATAAATGGGTTGAATGAATTTAAAAGAGACAAAACCTACTGTTAGAAGGAGAGGCTTTTAATGCGATGCTGTGGCGCCAGTTTCTTTTTTACTTAATAAGTTTGTTTGAAAAATATTTTTTTTAATTATGGATTTTGTTTAACGTTAATATTTTTTTATGTTTATTTGCAAGTAGAGTTAGACGTGTTTTCATTTATTGTCGTGATGGTAACGACACGCTGTATATATATACATGCATTAGGCGGCTCCAAAACAGACGGCCGCGGTTCGTATCACGATCATTTACACACTTATTTTTTTTTTTTTTTTTTCTATACCAGATCATTTTCTTTATTTTTAATTTTTTTTATTTCCAAAATACATGATTTACCAAAAAATCGGTTGGGTAATTTTTCGGTAAATCGGTCCTCCAGGTACTAATTATATTATATTACTAGCTGACCCGGCAAATGTTGCCATATAATTATTTGTAGGGTAGAAAAAAATGTTTGGGGTGGACTATCCTTATCACTAGTGTGAAAAATAGGTTACGACCGATTCTCAGACCTACCAAATGTACATATAAAACTGTATAATTAAAACCAGCCAAGTGCCAGTCGCACTTGCGCACAACGGGCTATAAAAACGGCAAAAAAATCATGTCTGTTGTATGGGAGTCCAACTTAAATATTTTTAGTATGTGTTTTTATAGCGGACACAGAAATACGTCATCTGTGAAAATTTCAAGATTCAGCAGACAGACAGTCAGACACATTCAGCGGCGTCTTAATAATAGGCTCCCGTTTTATCCTTTGGGTACGGAACCCTAAAAATCGATCAAGCCGGTTTCGGAGGAGTGTGGCTAACATTGTGACACAAGAGTTTTATATGTTAAGTGTAATAAATAGTCTTAGTAGGCAGAAACAAACTTAGTTGTGAAGTTGTTATCATTTTTACGGTCCGCAAACTTGGATCAGAGAAGAATATTAAGAGAGCTAAATAGTGTTGTACTTCTGCGTTTCTTCGGGCGAGTGATGTGACCTGGGCCAATTTTTTAAAGGTTGGCAACGCGTTTGCAACCCCTCAGGTTGTCTGCGGAAGTCCATGGGCGGCGGTAATTACTTAACGTCAGGTGAATCGCCTGCTAGCTTGGCACCACACATTATAAAGGACAATTTTAATTGCGGCAAAAAATTTACTTAACAGTGTGTAACTGACCGCCCGGTAGTTTGCTTGCATCCAACTGTAAATACATAACAGAAATGTATTGAAAAATCACATGGGCCAACAATTTAAGGGAAAAATAGAACAAATTCTATTTTACTTCTTTAGTTGTGCACTAAACTTTAACTTGCAACTTGTTCCTTAATAGACTTAACATGCACGAATTAAGTTAAAATTTAGATGAAACTTAATTTAAATTTAGTTAAAATGTAATTAAAGTTTAGTTAAAATATAATTAGAGTTTAGTTAAAATTTATTTAAAAATGAGTTAAAACCATTTATCACGTTTCAATCGGGCATAAGGGTTAGTGCACCATGGGGGGCCAGTTCACCTGGATGTGAGCGTTGACCAGGAACTCGTTTCTCCCTCTGAACCCCCACTTCTTCAGCTCTGCCGCTTCGGGGACCGACCACAGCGGCTCGCGGCCCTCGGCGTCGTACCAGATCCAGACGGCGCCGTCCACTTCCATCGTCCGCCAGGTCTTGATGGATATCCCTTTGGGCACTGTGGCAGAGACAGAAACCAGTGCGAAGGTCTCGAAATTGCTAGAGTACCTTTGTGCACTACGGGAGGGACAGAAGCCAGTGGGAACATCTAGAAATTGCTAGAGTACGGGCAACATTATAATCAATAAACTAGAACATCAAACAAAATTGGCCATTAGTACTATACGTAACTCTTTCTTTACGAGAGCTTGCATGAGCAGTTTATTGAGTTACACCTTGGAGTTAATATTTTTGTAGGGTATTTATGTCGTCAATAAAGCTTTGGCAAAGGACTTTTTTTTTTTTCGAAAAAACAATGTCAACCACTCTTTTATTCATTTCCTTATCCAATCTATGATATGCTTAAGTTCTATGTAAATTGTACTAAATTTCCATCGAGACCTTAATACAGAATTTTGTTTATGAATATTACGTTAGGGATGTCGAAATTGAAAAAATATATTGACATACCGATGTAACGTTACAAACAGTAATAATATCAAAAATCGTCCTCGATATATCGAAGAAAAATCCTAGAAATCCCTTTGTACAAAAAAGATAAGTCAAAATTTAAATATTTGACAATTACGGACTCTGTGCCGGATTCGAATTTGAGAAAATATCGTTTTTGATACGACTTTCGATATTGTTTATTTTGTATGTATTATGTGTATCTTCAGCATGCTCTTTTTTTACCTCACCTGCCTCGATATAATTTTGTATATTTACATAATCTACCTTAAAATAATAATTTATAGTCTGTTATTGGTTCATATTTTGATAGGCGCGCGTGCAAGTTTGGGATTCATATGGGTGAAACGGTCTTTAAAATGAGCGCCCCTTCCCTAGAGAAATCGGAAAAGACACTACGCTTATGGGTCATAAACAAAAGTGTGAGTCAAAACTTGGAAATAAAAAAAAGTTACTTTTTATGTAAAAAGTCAACTTTTATTATAAAATATAACAAAAGCACCATTTTATGAATAAATTCAGAGATCAAACCCTTATTCTCTATATAATAGGCCACATTTCCATTTTTTTGTGTCCACGGAAAAGACGTAAGAATCAACAGAAAAGATAAAACTAGGCTTTCAATCAATAACTGTGCTTTCAAAACTCTGTTAACTGATACAAAATAATAATTACACTGTACTTAACTGCTTAATATAAAAAAAACTAAACAAATTATACAACATTTGTTGACTTTAAAAATAAAATAAAATTGTTCAAGGAAGTGATTTCTCTTCTGTTGACATAAGAAATGACAAGAAAAAAAAATATGTAACAATAGGGAAAATGTAAACTTTCATCTAAATCTAGAATCTTCATGTTCACTGTATAGACAGTGAAGATGAAGAACAATCATTTGCATAGGCAAATGGTTGTTCTTTTTATAGTCACTTAGTTTGACAACAAAGGAAAAATTATATCAGACTCATCGGAATTGGAAATTACTCTCAATCTCTATACCTCTACAAACACGTCATAATTTTAAATTCCTTTAAACAAGTCATAATACAATCATAATTGGGCGCGTCTTTACCCAACTGAATTATCAAAGTCTCTTTACACAGCCACCTACGCTATAAGGAACTCGTTTGCCATGATCATTTTCGTTGTAGTGCCATAGAACTTTGTTAAAATTGTTCAATTCTTTGCCATTATAATTTAAAATCAAGTAAAACATTGACTAATTTCTGTATTGGATGCTTGGGCCATCGCAAAGTAACTTCGGGTAAGTTGGGACTTATTTCTCTGATAGATATAAAGGACAGGTCTAAGATGATGAAGAATGACTCATCGGCGGAGTATTATCTTCAAGAAACGTAGCGGTGGCTTCTCGCATCTTTAATAACTCACGGCGTTTTCAAGGTTTTACTCGCCACATTTTTCTTATTTAGCGCTGTTTTCTAAGAATATATTGGCCAATCGTTTTAATATTACCTCTTGCTATAGCATTTTTCTCTATCCATCTTACGTATTTCTGCCTTAGCAGTTGCGTCCAGTTTTATACGTGCTCGACGCATGCTATTTTTTTGTTCACGTCGTCTGTTATTTTTCTTCATCACTTAGCTTAATTTTTGATCTGTAGGTTCGCAGAATTTTTACTTGAAATATAGAAAAATCTCATACTACCCTAACCATTAATTATAGTAAAAAACGCAGAACACAAAATAAAAAAATAACATTCAGACGGCTCGAAGCAACACATGCTTTAATATATTAATTAATATAAACACAAAAATTTGTATTAATACAAGTTAAGGAACTTAGTAAAACTCACTTCCGTGGACCTTTACCCTTCGGTGGACACAGTGTCCACTGAGAAGTTTGTCCACGGAAGGGAAAACAAGTTGTAAAATGCTATACAAAATACAAAATTTTGTGGTTATTAAACGTCTTATAGAGTTTTTACCAATGGCCGCTGATGTCTCAATAGGAAAATTACAGCAAGTATTTTTCATGATAATACTTACCGAAATATTAACGTAACAGAAAAGTTGAAACGATCTTTGCCATAAATAATAAAAAATTACTTAATTAACCAAAAGTTTATTTTATTTTCGCACAGAGCAAATTCACGACTTTCAACGATAAGTTTCAACTAACAGCTAAACAGTGTTGCCAACAGAAATAAATAAGTCATGTTACCTTTTGTTAAATACTGTATCGAATGTATATTTTAGTTGTACCACGGAAGGGGTCGCAAGCACTGATAACAACATGTTTATGTATATTAATTCTTATAATTGAGGATGATTATTTTTCACAATATAATTTTTTAATAACTATAGGATATTATTAACCAAACTAATGATGAAAAATTGATACTTTTCGTTTAGAATATTTTTTAATATAATATCTAACTTACGAGCATAGACTGGAAACAGTCCACGGAAGGAGATTAAATTGACAAAATTGTTATTTTTGTTCAAATATAATTAGCAATAATAAAGCTATTTTAAAATAATTTGATAAAATGTTAGTTTAATTGTGTTTTTGACCAAAAATAATAATGTTTTAAGTATTTTTTCACATAATTTTATAAAAAGCACAGTTTTTTTGGTTGTTCTGTTTATGACCCTTATACAGTGAATAGATCTACACCTTGAGATTTGCAGTAGGGTCCAAATCGAGATTCTGAACGGGCGTGGAAAATGGAATACGAACCCGCATCGACGCCGGGTATGCTGACGCAGACGCCGTCGGCTCCGAACCGCCACTGGTGGAACGGGCATTCGATGCAGCTGCCACAGACTGTCCCGCCGATAGCCAGGTTCGCGCCCAGGTGTGGGCAGTAGGCGTCCACGCAGCGAGCCAGCCCGTCCTCGCCACGGTACACGCACAGATTCAAACCTGGAGCGGTTCTCATTGCATTGAACTACCCCAACTTTTCACCTACCTCCGGCTTCGTCACTCACCAGACGAATCGCAGAAGTATTCAGTACACTTCCATTTCATGCCGGTCTTCTGTGAGGTTTAGTACTACGGCTTGCCTGTTCGTGCAACAGATAAGACTGTTGCGTGGCCCCACCACAGTTACACTAATCTAATGAGATCTAACTCAATGCACAGGAGATGATGGTGCTAACAAAACTGTGACCAGGTTGTATTATAGTGACTCAAGTTATGAGACTAGTTATGGCTAATACCGAAATTGCTAACCTCCTCAGTGTAGGAAATATCGAGACACTATTAACCCTGATATAATGACCGGGGCAAACACCGAAACACAAAGGCTACTTTACAAATTTGTACTATAAAATTATCGAGTGGAAGAACTAAGAGGTTTATCAAAAAGACTATGATGCACCATGACAGTATCGCATTAACCCCTTGAAGTGGCCGTTTACTCTGCACGCTGCGGATAGTGCGAATAGTAGAGGTATCATTTAAAGTCTCCAACTTTTAAATGTTGTCAACGCATTACAAGTTCTAGGGTGTTGTACACGTCCATGGGCAATAATCACTTAACATCACGTGCTTGCTTGACAACTTCTAACATAGTAAAAACTAGTTGTGATTAAAGTTGGTTCTCAGCTCGTCTTTTAGTTGTTTTCCCCATTCAAACCAAAAGGATCATTGATTCGTTCATTTAATTTTGACTCCTGCAAGAATTGACAGCAATAAGGTCCCAACTTAAGAGAGAGAACAATTTGACTGCTGCCATCTTTCTTTTCTTATAAAGTTCTGTTAGGAGTGAATGGGCTTTCGCTGATCGAGTGAATTCAACAATTTTGATCACATCACAATCATTTGCATTTCAATTGCAATTGCAATCAGTTATTACCACACAGCAAATATACAATTTAGAACTAGAATAGACAATTTGCTTCGGCATTAGATCAGGTGTTTCTTGGTGAAGTAAATCCTGGTGGGATTGTAGTCTAGCACGTCGAGTGCGAAGCAATACGGTTGCTTACCTAGTGCGTCCACTGGCACCACCTTCCCGACCTTCAGGTCTCTGCTCTCGGCGACCACGAACCACCCGTTGGGGTAGGGAGGTGGCAGCTTCTTGCCGAGCTGCTTGGAGCTCTGCGCCCTAGTTATGTGTAGCGCCCTGTCCACCCCGCGCGGTATGTGGTCGAAGCCAACTTCCGTCATCTCCTGGAAGTGTAGAAGTAGAGAAGAATAGGCCACCACAACTGGCGCCGGCCAGTGAAACATGTTTGTATTAGGAACAAGAACTTTTTACTACGCTAAGAAGCATGCTGATAGTAAAGTTCGCCCTGAACTCTCTAACTTTATAATGTGACTTAACATCATAATTGACGAGGAAGGAGGCTTCACATTATTTGTAAATCCGATGCCAGGGCAATATCAGGAGTCAAATCAATATTAGGAGTCGGGGACTAGGAGGGTCCCAGTTGGTAACCAAAGAAGTCTTGGGCCCGTAATTGACCGTCAACTTACTTGCGATAGGGTTGTAGGTTTGGAGGCTATCTAACTCGAAAGGATGACAGTAGATTTTCTAGGTCGAAGTAGTCGCTTTATTTTGTTTATGAAGGAGATAAAGTCAAATATTGAAATTTGTCTTTATTATTTTAATTTCATTTTATTTTTTTGTGTCACGTAGTAGTTGGTGATTCATAATAGTAAAAGTTGCACCTTTAATTAGTGTACGCTACACAAAATTTTCAAAGAACTAGATTATTTAAATTTTTAATAAGCACACTTGGTGCGATTTTTGGGAACAAATATATAACACCACTTAATTGTTGGTACAATGTTGGTACAAACACATACAAAGTACACAAAATTATACTTTTTGTGGAGGAAATGACACATCAGCACAGCTGATAGTAATAAATAGATCTTTGGACACTTACAGCAAAGACAGACAGAGAGACAAGACTCTAAAAGCATTGCCAGCCTTTAACGGGAGAGTAGACTCTCTGTTTTATGGTCCCTAAGTCCTGTTCGTTATACTATTTATATTCTCTTGTTGAAGGGAAGTTTTTACATCTTAATTTGAGCTTAAAGATCATATTAGACGGTTAAGCTGGTCTTACGTGAAAAATCCCCACCGACCGGGCCTTGTCTTGCCTTGTCGTGGTGGAGGCCTTAGTAGCCGTGGCTTGGTCACCCGCGATGAAGTCCACACTGGGTTGGCCTGTGGTTTAAGGCCGACCCGAGAGGGTGGTTCCCAGTGGGCTCATTGAGCCCGCTCTGGATGCGTCTTGCGGAGTGTGGAGGGATGCGGGGTTCAAGATGAGGGTGGTAGATCAGGAACCACTCTCCCTGGCTTATGCAACCGAAGTGAGCGACAGGCCAGGTCTATCACTGGCGGTTTGGAGGCTTGTTTATTAGCACTGGCTTTTCTGGCTCCCATGGCCTCTGGTCCAGCGAACTCGGGGGAGTTAGATGGTGATAAAAAAGGGCTAAGTAGGAAGGCACGCTGAGCGTACCTTACCAGGAGGAATGCGTGCGTTTGCGTGCGTTGCATGTGTACTAGGTGTACACACGCAATGCATGCAAACGCAAGACAACATTGTGGGGGTTTTAGTCGGTGCAGGTTTGCGAGATTTTCCTCCACGAGGGTGGCTATGCGTAGGTATATGTTGTACTTTCACGTTTCGTCTGACGAGAAGGTAACCAGGGCCTATTTTTCAAAACTTGGAAAACTTTTTCAAGTGTTACAAACTAGAGAGTGCACGAAGGACGCTTAGATTTTCAGACCTGAATTAGCTCAGTAAAACTCGAATAGCGGACGCTATCGCCGTTACCGTTAGGGTTTAAGAGTGAGAGAACTTATTTCTTAACTGACAGTTCAATCAGCTTTTATGAGGGATGGTGCCATTGCTAACATCCACAACACCTCTGGGATTTTTGATGCGTCGTCAAAAGAGGGCGCTGGTCACCTCGCTAGACTCAACCCAAAAGGACAGATACTCCTTCGTAGATCGACGAGGGTGGGGCGCCGCGTCAGATTACTTCTTCGTCGGTCTTCCGCGAGGGCGTGGTCCGAACAGACCTGCAGATTCGTGCCACAGCAGGTGCTGTGTGGCTTCGATCGAATCAGTAATGTGCGCTCACCGTCACGTAAATCGGCGGCCTCAGGAAGCTCTTGTACACGGCGTACGAAAACAGGGCCAGTGCCACAAACAGGAGAAGAAGTCCGCAGTTATCGCGCGCGCACTCCGCCGCTGAGCCGGCGGCCGACACGGCGAAAAAGAGCACATCGCCGGGCTCCATCTTCGTGCGGCATTGCGCGGGAACCCGATCCGCCATTTTGCCCGCCGCACGGAACGCCGCCATCTTGTAAAAGCTTCGCGTCGAGTTTGACATGTGTACGACTGGAACGTAGAGGAATTCGGAATAAGTACGGATCTATAAGTATCGCCGAAGACCGACCGACGAAGGCTCGATGCCAATTAAATTAATATGAGAGCCAAACAGAACCCAAAGCAAAATAAAAATTAAATCGGTTGATAAATGACCGAGTTCTTGGGTAATAAACATAAAAAAATGATTTCTGATTGAGAACCACCTTTTCGAAGTCGGTTGTTTTGTAGATGCGTTGACCACCTTTTAAAAAGTGGGCCCCGGCTACCTCACTCACCAGACATTATAGAAAAAGCATTAAATTATACTTTCACTCTAAGACCGGTGGCTCTTCTGTGAGGTCGTGGTACTTTCTCGGATGAGCCTGCCCATTCGTGCAACAGAAAAATCCGCTGCGTGGCCGTACCACAGTTAATTTTGCAACCGCAGAGCTATGTTGCCACGCGAGATGACCCATATAGACGAAGTGACGACGCAAGCAAGGCCGGCGATTTGTAACACGAATAAGGTTTTGTGTTGTTGTAACCCGAGCGTGCACGTGCTAGGCAGAAAGTATGAGAGCCGTGTCGCTGTATAGATTTATTGAATAGTTGTGTTAGGGTTCCATACCCAAAGGATAAAACTGGACCCTATTACTGACCCTCCCCTGTCTGTCCGTCTGTCACCAGGCCGTATCTCATGAACCGTGACGGTTGGAATTTTCACAGAAGAAATATTTCTGTTGCCGCTATAACAAAATATACTACTACTTTTGCTGATTTTTCGATAATAGTATGGAACCCTTCGAGCGCGAGTCCGAATCGCACTTGGCGCGTTTTCATTTTTTATATTTTATTTTAGAAGGTGGCAAGCGAGCTGGCGGGTCACCTGATGCTAAGCGATGACCGCCGCCCATGGACGTTTGCAACACCCGTAGCTGAAATGTTGCCAGCCTTTAAAGTGGGCCCCAGCTACCCCGCTCGCCAGACGAAACGCAGAAGTATGTCACTTCCACTTTACGGTCTACCCCCTCGTGCGACCGAAGCTACGGCGTGGTCCCATCGCATACCTTTGCGTATAAGATGAAGAAAAACCGCCCAAGTGCGAGTCGATCGCGCACGAAGTGTTCCGTACCGTCATCTATAAAAACGTCATGTCGTTTGTGTCGTTGTGTTTTTTTAGAAACGCAACAGAAATACATCATCTGTGAAGATTTTAACTCTTAACTATCACGGTTCACGAGATACAGCCCGTTGACAGACAGACAGAAAGCGGAGTCTTGAAATAGGGTCCCGTTGTACCCTTTGATTACGAAACCCTAAAAAGCAGTTGTAACTATTATATTGTAAATATTATATATAAAGATATCGCGTAGTATAGATTAATAATAATCATAATATCCCAGGGTTGATCCCAGTCAGCCTCTCCGGACATCCGGGACGGAACGCTCCAAGCTCTAATGCAGAAAGCGGTGCTCCTCGATACCGCCCGCATCGTCCGCCGGTTTCTCTCCCTATCACCCTAACCCTCGGCCGTTTGGTCTCCCCTGCCGAGGGCTTCCGTCTGGTTGGGTCCTACTTATATATGTATTATATACAATATTTATTTCTATATGTTTATTTTTATTCATAATATTTATTTTATATATGCAATATATATCTATATGTTTATTTTTTATCTATAAACCCAACCAGACGAGAAAACAAAGAAATGTCCCCATCATAATATTATTAATCACTTCACACTGCCTCATATTAGCTGGGTAGGATCGCATTTCGATATCAACATTTGGTGGTTCCGTGGCGCAGACGCCTAGGTAGCGGCTTCGGCGTCGGATGTAGTGGGTTCGATTCCCACACGGGACAACTATTTGTGTGACCCACAGATAGTTGTTTCGCATCTGGGAATTTGTGTTTGTAAAACGTCCTTACAGCACAGGATAATGTTATCCTAAAGTAAGGGCAATGTTTTCGAATAAAAAAACGAAACAAACAACACGTTGATTAATACTGCCAATCGGCAATGATATAATGCATAAAAATATGCACTATACACTGGCGCCCCGAAATGGGGGCAATCTAATTACAAGATTGCAATTCTATAGACTGATATCTCTTTCCATATCATACGCTCTACTACTACTATATCAACTGTCACATTCACTTGTATATGTCACATACTTAATATAATTATATGAAGTGTTTAAAAACTTAATTAAAATTTTTATACTTTAAAAGGGCAATTCTTGTATTTGTATATATATAATCGGTATCTCGGAAACGGCTCCAGCGATTTTCATGAAATTTAGTATGTGCGTAGATTCGGGGGCGAAAAACCGATCTAGGTAGGCTTCATATTTAGAAAATGTCCTTTTATCCTTGTTTTCAGAGAATGAAAAATATCATACGCAGATGACAGTAAATTTCGCCGCAAAAAAAAATGTTATAATAGCTCGGTCGGTAATCTGGCGGCCCCAAAACAGACGGCCGCGGTCCGTGTCACGATCATTTACACACTTATTTTTTTTACTTTTTTTTCAATATCAGATCATTGTCTTTTTTTTTTATTTTTTTATTTCCAAAATACATGATTTACAACAAAAAAAAACCGGTCCTCCAAGTACTAAGTTTTTATACGCCGCGCAGTATGGTCATGCGTCATCTACGTTATTGAACATCATTGGCCAATCGGCAATTAAAACCCTCCCTGGGAAACCCAGGCAATGTGCGCATAACGGAATCGACTTAAAAGTTAAATGTAGGTATAACTTGATGTGAATTGCTACGGATTTGTCATAATGTTATGCCTAATGTCTGATTAATGTTTACGACACGATCGGCGTAGAGAATAGTCTCTCTCAGTCGTCTCTTCCGGTTGAGGGTGTGGGTTCGATCCCGGCTACTTGGAAAATATTGTGTGATGAACATAGTGTTTTTCCCGTGTCAAAGTGTCTTATACCTTTCTCTATACCATCTTACACCTTTAAACATAAAATAAAAAATAAAATAAAAGATGATAATAATATATAGGAATCCTGTAAAAAGTGTCAAGTAAAAGTTAATTCTTAAAAATCTATTTCACACATTCACAAAACCCTTTAGAAATACGGTTCCTGCATGCTGTCCTAAAGGAACCGTGCATTTTTTCAGGATAAAAATTTGCCTAAGTAATTTTCTGACTCCTAACCTACCACTGCCTATGCGAAACATCATGTCGATGCTTTGCTCTATGAATAATTAAAACATATCTATCCCACGGGAACCATACATTTCGGGATATAAAGTACTGTAGTAGCCTATGATAGCACATAGCTCCAGACTATACTCTTTTTAATTTATTGATTAACAGAGTAAATACAATTGATTCAAAAAAACATTAAGTTCTCTTTTCATTAACTCTATCTCTGTGCCAAATTTCATCCAGATCCGTTCAGCCTTTCTGGCGTAATTGAGAAACAAACATCCATCCATCCAAATAATTTTAGTGGGCTTCATCACAGAAAATCATTATTTTGTATATACAAGTGACCGTGTCGAGACAGTTTTTAATATGCAAATTTAAGATTAATTTTCTCGTCCCATCATTCATTTAATTAAAATTATTAAACAAATAATTCTGTGAAATACTTTTTCATATACAAGATCTGTCTTGTTCTAATTATTGAAATTTGTAAATGCGGTAAGAACTCGGCGAATTAAAAAGGTCACCTTGTCTGTGTATGTGACACCTAAACTACGTAACAGCCCACACAATACATGTCCCACAGCTGGGCAAAGGCCTGTAAACATAGGGTATTAAGGATAGTCCACCACGCGGCCCCACTGCGTATTTGGGGACTTTGCATATCTTCGAAATATTTTTTTGACTATATAATAATAATTTTATTGGTATATATAATCTATTATTATAGCCAATATACTATATTAAATACATATGAAACCAAATGAATATGACACGAAACCAAATAGGTATGTACGCGGTACGGTTTTCCGATTTTCTGTACACACCGTACAAACTAGACTAAGATTAAAACAAAGCGGGTACATTAATTCAAGGAAAATAACACAATACCTACTGATTATAACACAAATCTGGTACATTATTCCAAAGACCCATTCCATTCCTTAACACATATTCATATAGTATATTAGCATCGGTATTTGAACTCAGGTTTCTCGAGTATAATGAATTAAAAGCGAGCGTCCGGACACTGAGCTATCGCGGCTAATTAAATAAAATTTTACGGTGGTGGGGCCACGCAGCAGCCTCGGCTGTTGCACGACGGGCAGGCCCGTCCGGGTAAGTACCGCGACCTCACAGAAGACCGGCGTCAAGTGGGAGTATACTTTCGCGTTTCGTCTGGTGAGTGAGGTGGCTGGAGGCCAATTTTCAAAAGGTTGTCAACGCACCTGCAATCCTCGGGTGTAGCACAATGTCCATCGGGCGGCGGTATTCGCTTAACATCAGGTGAACCGCCTACTCGCTTGGCAACTATTCACAAAAAAAAAATAAGACGGAAGGAATGAATGAGACACTTTTTTGTCTTAGCAACCAAATAAAAGGATTGATATTAAAAGTAAATTATGCATCTGTGTCGTTCAAATTAATGCAGCGATATCACTTAGTATTAATTAACGATTAAATGATTTGGAAATATTATACTGTAACTATGTAAAGTATGTCGTGAGACGGAATTAATGGTCAATGAACTTTACATTATTGTCCTCTTTTATCAAAAGTTCATGCGATTTACTGTAACGAATTATATTTTTAACACGCTTTTATTAATTTAGTTTTCCGCCGCCCATTGACATTTGCCGACCCCGTAGGCTTGCAGATCCATTGCCACCTTTTAGTAAAGTGGGCTGCGGCTATCTCACTCCCCAGATGAAACGCAGTAAACTGTAACAATTCTATTTAACGCCGGTCTCCTGTGAGCTCGCGGTACTTCCCCGGGTGGACCTGCCCATTCGTGCAACAGCGTAGACAGTTGC